ACCTATGGTATTGTGCATGCTGGATCACTGGAGTAGCTTATCGGGGCACCTAATGAACAGAGCCAAAATGGATTTTATTAATTAATATTGAATGAATTAAATAAAGCATTTTGTGCGGCCCCTGAACGTGACATGAAATGCATTCATTATAGTGTAATCATTCGCGGTCCATTTCAGTACTTATACTTTCAATACACTTGAGTCTTTGAGTAGAAAATCTCGCACACTGCTCCTGCTCAGCTTCACAATTCATCAGTAACACTTACGTTTCCTGGACCTTCGTTGAGAGTGTTAAACACCCTTATTTCCAAGATTGAGCTTAAATAGAAACTGCTCCACCCATTTAACAGGTGAGCACAGGTGTGGGGGAATTAATCAGCTTTGGGCGTATCTCCCAATAGTTGACAACAGCCTGTGCACTGTATGTCACATATCCCACAAATGAAAGAAGAAGAGAACAAAAACATAGGAAACACCTAGAAAACTCAAGCACCTTACACTATGAAGGCTATTTACAAGATTATTTACCAAAAATGTCTATTATGAATGAACGCATCGGCCTTGCAGCTTTTATAAATCATTCAAAATATTTCCTCGTTCTTTTGTTTGCAAGATTTTCTGTTCAAAGACTCAAGTGATGTTTTCCAACGCACCTGCATCTGAGACAGTTGGATGTGCGAATACCTTTCTTCAGACTTTCAATACACTTAAAATGTACATTTAATACACTATTAGGAGACTGCATCAAGCTGAGCTCCCCTAACAAGAGTCCGACAGGTTAGGGATAACACCTTGCAGAAAGCTACTGGTTGCATAGCAACTCATGGCACCTCTTGGGCCTGTCCCAATATCCACACTTCGCCTAGAAATACCCACTTGCACTTGGTTGTGTGCGTTCACGTTTAGGCTAGTGGTGTCCCAAAACAGAATTGAGGTAGTAGAAGTGGTTTCCAACACTTGAAATCCGCCCTAGATTCCAAGGGAGCCCCGACCCACACTTACCACGAAGTGGAAGATGAAGTCAGCAACTTCTGCAAGTTTTGGAAAATAATTTGTTACTGTACGATCAGAATGTATGCTATACAATCAACAGATGGTTCGACTAGCGTAAACTCATCAGCAATTTGATTGAACACAGCGTCAAAATATTTAAACAAATCGACCCGAACAAAATCAATCAGAACTAGAAGACGTCGTAGGCGCCTCCTGTTTTCAGCTTTTTTTTCTCCGTTGATTCATCAGACGGAGAAGAATAAACACAGCACACGCCACAACACAAGCACTGGAGCTGGCATTTTCATTGCCTTGCTACTATGCGTGACGTATGCCTGCACGTCGGCCACGCCGACTTGCTTGAAGTGGTGTCCCATTTCTTAGGGAAAGATCTCTACCCTAATATTTCTCACTTCGCCCATCAAGGGTTATCTCGCAAATGAGGGCACTCAATGCCAACTGAAAGATTTATGGGGTAGAAATGGGACAGGCCCATCATCAGCGCTAGTGCTGTTAGCTAAAGTTAACAATTTCAGGGGTCAGCTCACAACTATGCTTTTCCTGCGTGGCTAAATTGGCACTCAGGAAACCTTTGAGAACTCCTGCTTAGAGTTAAATGAAGTATGACTGACTGTGTATGTTACTAAGTCTCTGTAGACGCATTACTATTCTGCCATGCACATGCTTACACACAGAAATACACTTGCTCATACAGTGAGCTGTCAGAAGCAGCAAAGCACCCATTTTGAACCAGTCAAAGCCAGCTGACCCTGTGCTAAAACATGGTTCTCTCAACCTAACAAACAACCTTAATGTCTCAGTGAGTAGCCATTCAAAACGTAGGACCTCCGGTGACATGTTTTGCATGAAGTAATGACATTTCTTTGGTATATATTTGAAATTAACCTTGTAATCTTAATAGTTTTTCACTCAGATTCCCCACAGGTACACCTGCTCAGATCTTCTCTTTTGTTCTACGGGGGGTAGAGGCCTTTTTTACAGGAGACACTTGGACATATCAGAGTAGGAACAGCACAGTAAATTATATTCTAAATGATAACATGAGTGATGGCTGCTTTGGTTTCAGGGTCCTGGTCTTGTGCATGCAGGCTCACTGACATGGGACACATGAAAAGAACAGAGACATCATCATGTAGCCTAATCTGTAACATCTGTGCCTTGCCTACAATTACAAGACATAATGTCTGCTGTGAAAAAAAGCCTATTACACTCTTATTAAGTCTAATGCATGGCAGCATTGAGATATAAAAGTAAGTTCATCTAATTAATATCAAAACTATTCCAACGTCATCAACAATAATACTTCTGTTAACAAGAAGTGACACAAAATGGAAAGTAAACACAATAAAACTTGCATCCTGTCACACTGCCTAATTAGGAATATTTTATCTCATTGCTGATATTTGTATCCTCATTTATTTATTCACAGCAGTCAGACTGTTGTAAACATATCTGCAGCTTCTCTATAAATTCCACCATCTGGGCGGCTGAGTGTGATATTGGATGTGAAGATAACAGAGAGGGAATTTATCTGCCTCACTCTCGTACCGTCTGAAGCCCTGTTTCCTCCTCTCTCTCTGTCTCTTTCCACTCTTTCATTTGCTCATTTTGTGCTCTCTCTCTCTCTGCATCCTTCCTGGGCATTGTCTCCATTTTTATGCTGATCGTCTATAATTATGTATCTATTTCAGGCCCTCCTGGTAAAAACAGTCCTCTGATTGCATTTCTCTGCCGCCTCCATCCTGTTATTAGACTAAAAATGATCACATAACACATGTAAGGCTGCCGTACTTTTGAGATTTGTTAGATTGCAATCTGTAATGTATGCTGCGTAATTTGTAATTTGTTTGTCTCCTGATGAAACACATGTCAGCCTGATAATATTAGGCTCAAACAGTGAGAGCATGTAGATTACTACCACTACAACAAACTCATAGAGGTCACATATTTTATACTTCCTGTGAATTTGTATTTTTATACTATCAATTTGAAAAGCAGACATAGTCATGTGTTGCGGCTGTTCCAACTTGACCACATAGATGCGAGTGACGGCTGGTTTTATGCAGAAACATAAGACGCTGCGTCTGGGCGACCAGAGAACCAGACCTTCTAGTGTGTGTGGAGGAGCTCAGGGTTTCCCATACATTGATTTAGTTGCTACGACGATATTGGAAGAGCACCACACAGCTTTTGAGTGTAGCACAACGGCAGCTGGGGCTCAGAGGGGGTCGTCAACTAATTGGAAGATCAGCGGTTCAATCCAGGACTCCTCTAGTCTGCATGTTGAAGTATCCTTGGGCAAGATACTGAGACCCAAATTGCTCCGACTGGCTGTTCCATCAGTGTGTGGGAGCATGAGAATGGTTACTGAGTAGCAGGTTGCACCATGTATGGGAGCCTCGGCCACCAGTGTGTGAATGTGTGTGTGAATGTGACATGTAGTGTAAAGGCACTTTGAGTGGTCAGGGTACTAGAAAGACGCTACACAAGTACAGTCCATTTACCATTTTTTACCAGAGCGTACTCTGGACACAGAAGGAGCAGCAGAACGGCAGGCGCAATGAAAGTGAAACTTAACATTTTGTTAATTCATGTAGAAATAAAATGTTCTATTTCATAGAATAACATTGCTCTCATTTGAGTGTTGTTCATCGTTTTTCCAGACTAGTTAAAAAAAAAAAACCCAGCTGCAGTCCCATGAAAACTGTGCACCCTGTGGTCTAGCGCTGGGTCTGAAGACTAACTCACCTCTGCAGCAGCTGCTCTTCTAATCTATTCCATTGATCAGCTCTGGCAGATCAGACCACAGACTGCACAAGTGATTAATTCTCCATATTGTGACCCAGATGGATCCATGTAACATAACCAAAGCAAACAAAAGCCGGAATGTGTCGAACATTGAATCTGAAGATGACTTCTTCAGCCACGGGTCTGTGAAGCCTGCCGTTCAGATCCAGCAATGTGGAGGTGATGGAGGAGGTCCGCAAGTACATCGAAGAAACGGGGCAGAGTCTAGAGTGCCTTCAGGATTACCCTAGAATGAAGCAACTTTTCCTAAGACACAACACCACCCCTGTCCAGCCTCTCTTCAGCCCGAAAGGCAACAGGGTCACCTCACAGAGAAGCTTTCTGACTGACGACTACTTAGAACGCATTCAGCTTTTGGGATTCAACAGTAATGTGTGCACATTGGTCACCAAGTGAATACATTGCCAGTGACCTCTTTCTCGCAGCCTTTTAATTGATACAGAATCAAACCATCTTGTGCTAAAATCATTGCTGCTGCTGAGTGGACAACAAATTTCATGAAGACTTCTGCCTGTGCTGCGTTTAGGGACCCTCAAAAACCTTCAAAGTTGGAGAGGGGACACAGAAAGATCACACACAGATTCTAACTCTGTGGGAAACACAGGAGCTGAGCCCTGCCCTCAGTGAATCACCCACACAGAGAGCAGAGGACAGAAGCATCGTGCCTGAAAATGACACCAAAAGTAGCAACATAGTTTTTTTTGTTCATACGACTAAGGCACTGTGAAAAAAGCATATCCACATTTTGTCAAATTACTAGTGTTTTACAGTTGATTCTATTTTCCTTATCTAATCCGATCTAAGCCATTCTGTCTGTTTTCTGCATTGTAGAAATCAGAGGGCCTGACATCCCTAGAGCCATTAGCATGGCTGAAAATGCATTAAACCTCATGTACAGTACAGAGGGCTTTACAAAGGTCTTGGTCCCCTTGTTGCTGACGCTCCTGTCTCCTGCAGTTCCTCCAGCTGACAGGGCCCTACTTGTGTTTGACACTGTTATTACATAATGTTGGACCACCGTGTCCACCCTTTGGCATTCATCTTTGTCACGGAGAAAACTAATGATGCTGAGTAATGGAGCCTCCCCGTCTCAGAGCAACTAACACACTCATCTCTGTCTGTCTCCTCTTTCTGTCTCTCTCTCTCTCTCTCTCTCTCTCTCTCTCTCTCTCTCTCAGATGCTGCTGCTAGGAAAGCCTTCATCACAGAGGTGAGCCACCATCTGTCCCTGTGATCATCTGCTCCGTAACATATCTCTTTTTAGTTCCTTTTTTGATCCTCTACATCAGTAACACCTAGTTCTTTGGTTTTAGCCACGCGCTAATTAAACCATTACCCCACAAAGGATTGATCTGAGCGATTCATATTTGGGTCAATTAATATTTGCTGTGTGTTTTTTTTGGCGCGTTGGTGCATGAGAACTGGCACAAACCTTCAGTACGGACTACCAGAAAATATTTAAATATTGCTGTAGTGTTCTTTGTCTTTGCTAGACAATTTGGCTCACGTTATTTTAATCCTCCTAATTTAGTAAATCCCGTCCATCTGGCGTACTGAACGTTAAAGCAAACATTAGAAGTATTGCACAGTTTGTTAGCTCTAAATCTGCTGAGGATATTTAACTCTACTTTAAAACCAAAAAGCTTATTGAACATCAATTACAACAGCACCGGATATATTTACATTGGCTGTCCAGCTATGAGATCTAAAACATCCACCGTACGTAGCTGCTGCCATTAAAGCAGTTTCTAAATCAGATTAGCTTACAAAGCATGCTATCAGATCTCATGCTATGCACAGTTTGAGTGGGATCGATAAAGTTCCACTAATTAAAGATCCTCAGAACAGAGGAGTTTGCATGTTGTTTCAAAATGAACACCTGCTCTCTTCAATGGGTCAGTTTATAACATCAAAGCTTGAAATGGCTCTCATGCATTGATACTGTGCCACTCCCCTATCTTTAATGTTTAAATAATCAATGTTAATGAACAGGTGCAAATCCCCCTGTCCCCCATAATACCAGTCTCTCCCTCTTTGTCTCGCCAGATGCCCTCATCCTCAGGCCAGCCTGGTCAGGGAAAGAAGATTGGCCACAGAGGGGTGGACGCATCAGGGGAAACTACTTACAAGAAGGTACTATGGACAGCACATGCCTGGGCCGTGATGTGTTGACTGGTTTGCATTTTTAAAGCATTAAATGGTGATGGATATATTTTAAAATGCTCCACGTCAGAAGAGAACTGTTCTCTGGCTGTGGAGGTGAAAAACAGCGAAGGTATTTCACTCGCCGCACCTTCCCCTCTCTCCGCAGACCACATCCTCAGCCTTGAAAGGTGCCATCCAGCTGGGCATCGGTTACACAGTGGGCAACCTGAGCTCCAAGCCTGAGAGAGATGTGTTGATGCAGGACTTCTACGTGGTGGAGAGCATCTTCTTCCCCAGGTCTCTACTGCAGCCACACACAAAAAACCCTTTGTATACACGCAGTATGTTTCCTACGACAGCATATCAGGCCATTGTAGATTAAAAATAATATTATCACAGAGCCGGAGGAGAGGGGGAATATTCTGAGAAAAAACTCAGAATTTCTCAGATTTCAGAAGTCTTTGAGCACACTGAGTCTGGTGACGTAAAATAAATTTGTGACAAAGTCCACATAAGGACAAAATTGTGGTGGGTGAATCTGTCAATCACTGGACTTTCACTCAGGAGACCATGGTTTGTGTCCTGCATGAGTTAAAGTTGGGTATTTATTTTTAGTTGACTTATTATTTTCAGTTTTTACAGTGTATAAAGCTGCTGAATGCACAATGTGAATATAAACTTCAGCAGAATGGCTGAACAAGCCCGTCCCTGTTTGTGGCATATTTTGACATTGCTATGGCCAGGTAACATCACCTGAGGTTGACACAACTTTCATTTTGGAGCTTTTTTTGAGCCGTAATGGGACGTCAGGATTGGAGGTTCAAGCAACAGTTATTTAACGTCTCAGTGTTTGCTGGGATTCCCTGTTTACTGGGAGCATCTGTGGTGGGATGAGCTTGAACCAATCTAACAAAGTAAAGTGACAAAAAGAAAATATTTTTTTTTCTTTTTTTTTGTAAATTTGTCACTTCAGTTTCAGAGAATTTGTGAGTTTTTTCTCAGAGAATCTCAGAGATTATTCAAGTTTTTTCTTGTAAATTTGTGATTTTTTTCTTGCAAATTTATGTCTTTATAATCTCAATGAATATTCAAGTTTTTTTTCTTGTAAACTTGTGAATTTTTCTCATAAATTTATGACTTAATAATCTCAGAGTATATTCAAGTTTTTTCTTGTAAATTTGTGAATTTTTCATGCAAATGTATGACTTTATAATCTCAGAGAATATTCCATTTTTTTTCTTGTAAATTTGTGATTTTTTTTTCATAAATTTATGTCTTTATAATCTCAGAGAATATTCAAGTTTTTTCTTGCAAATTTTTATTTATTTTTTCTCAAAAATGTATGACTTTATTATCTCAGAGAATATTCAAGTTTTTTCTTGCAAGTTTATTAGTTTTTTTCTGGAATTTACCACTTTAATCCCAGAAAATATCCAAGTTGTTTTCTTTTAAATTTAAGACTTTAATCTCAGAGTTTTTCCCCTGAATATTACCCCCCGCTCCCGGCTTCACACTAATTTATTTTTATCTATCATGGCCTTGATATGCAGTCCTGATTCCAGTGCACACATGAATAATACAATATTAATGCATGTTGTTGATATGTTCTTCTTATCCTCCCTGTTTGATGTTCGCTTGTGAAAAAATATTAATTTAATCACTCTCTTCTAATCTTACGCTCTCTGATATTCTTCTGTGCTTTAGTGAAGGAAGCAACCTCACTCCAGCCCACCATTTCCCAGATTTCCGCTTTAAAACATACGCCCCTGTGGCCTTCCGCTACTTCAGAGAACTGTTTGGCATCAGGCCGGATGACTACCTGGTAAGATTTCACTTTGTCCGTGTCTCTAAATGAATAAAGGTGAATTGTTATCGCATGGATGTTAAACGTTCTCCAGGAAATCTTCAGATTATAACTACATGGTATGAAATAAAAGAAAAGGATGCACTGAGCTGGTTAGCTGTGGTGGAAATTGAATTAATCTCAGTAGTAGCGTTCAAAGCAGATAGACATGAACAGGGAGGAAGTGAAAGCAATCAAGAGGGGAAAGGAAAGGAGGCCAGGAAAAGACAATGAAACACACAGAGTAAATTAAGTAGAAAGATGTGAAGAAGGAAAATAGAAAAGAAGTTAATAAAGATGAGAAGCAGGACGGTGGGAGAGAGATGAAAGAGTAGAGGACAAGAAGCGATGAAACGGCACAAGACAGTGCAGAGGGGAGGAGACAGGACGGTCGAGGAGAGGGAGGGAGGAAAGGTCTGCAGCTTGTCACCCCTCATCAGCGTGGAGGACCTGGAGGCTGCGTGATTCACAGCTCCGCCCTGAGCAGTCTAGCAGAATATACATACACTGCTTAGTCAGTGTTTCTGCGTGGTCCATGTGCACATATCTTTAATGCATCGGCTCTCCAACCACGTAGAAACACCACATCCTGCCTTGTTTCTGCCATCTCTCTCAGCCAGCCTGGGGTCACTCATCACCATATGTCCACACAAGCCATCTGGGGACTTGCATGTTCTCACCAGACTACCAGACTGATTTTTAAGATTGTGAGTCTGGTTACACTGAAGTAGTAGGTACAAGACAGAAACAGAATCTCGTTCCTATTTCTCTACTTATCCTGCTACAAGTGTTGAGCTGCCTGTACTAACAGAAATACAAATCTTAGGAGGGACAGGTCCTCTAATTGAATCTATCTGACCTAATTGATAGAGAGCATCCTTAATTAGACGACTCTAGTAGACTTTTTAAGAGAGTTCTCTTTCAGATCCAGGAGCACTGCTCTCTACCTGATGCTAAATCTAGACTCCTTGTGGAGGTAGAAATTTAAAAATAACATCCCAATGTGGTCAATTACGTATCACATTACATTCATAGTCGTAGAGTAGCTAATGGCCTGGGAGTTTTTCAGCACCTTGCCACAACAGATTAGTCCGCCTTTAGCAGCGTTTTCTACGGAGGTCTTAATGAGGCGTTTGGGGGCAGCATCTTTATAAGAGCTGGGCGGCAGGCCGACATTTATTCATTAATGTGTAATGTGTTTGGTGTGAGCACAGCTTTGGATGTAAACAGGGTTTTGAGTAGGAAACAAAAAAACAAAAAGTGTTTTTAACACTACTGGCAAGCACGTGAAGCAACAAGACTTCAATATAGCCCTGTAAGAGTCACATAAACAGAAAAACAAGAGACAAATTTGAAACTCTTCTAGGGGTGGGAATCACCAGAGGCACCATGATACCATATTATCACAATACAATACAATATTATTGTAATTTTAAACGTGTCGCTGAGTATTGTGATAAAACATACTGTGATATACTGTGAATTATTACCTTTTTTTGAACTTGAAATTTTGTCCCCAAAGGACAAAACATCAGTTTTATCTAATGAGATAAAGCTGTTCATCTCACTTCAGTGATGTTTATTGCTGCAAAATGTACACTGTGCAATTTTGGGCTGTCCCAGACAAAAGATGAACATCGTGGGAGAAACGTGGCGATATCTTTGGTTGTGGCTCTAAAACAGTGGTCTTACGTCGCATTGTGAGACATGTTCAAGGACGGCCGTTGTCAACGTCTTGCAACCAAAGATAACCTGAGATAAAATTCTGACAGTGTCAGAAATTTAGGATGACTATCTCAGAGTGTGACAGCCGCTACCACCTACGTCTACTAATCAACCAATAGAAATGCAGCACGAAATGACACAATGGTCACCGCGACACAGGCGCTAAACCCAAACAAATGATCGCTTGCCATGGAGGTAAAATGAACAAAAAGAAGTCTGTGGAACTCCCAGAAAGAGGAAAGTGTGGTGGAGCTGTGGCAGCAGAAGCCTTGTTGATTTGATGTTTCCTCCAGCTGCTATCATGACCGCGAGAAATGACTGCATGGAAGGAAATTGTGGAGGAACTGCAACTTCCAGGTGAACAAGCTACCTATGGTGGCACAGATAATGACGTACGCTGATGTGGTGCACGCTGATGACGTTGCATATTGACGTACGTCGTAACCTGCGATTCAGTAGTAAACGGCCATCGTACAATCTGCACACATCAAACTTGACGTCGTGCCAAAGTTTATTAGATCCACGTCTCAGTGTGCCATGCAATAGTCTTATAAGATTGCTAAAATCGCACAGTGTATAGAGGGCATAAAACAGGCAATTGATTATAATATACCAGTAGGCTATCAACATTTTAATTTGTATTTGTGCCTAAATAAATTATCTAATTATGAAACGATACCGCACAAATATATCACAATACTATGCTATATCGATTGTTTTCCATCCATCCATCCATTTTCGTCACCACTTATCCTCTTGAGGGTCATGGGGGGGTGGAGCCTATCCCAGTTGACATTGGGTGAGAGGCGGGGTACACCCTGGACAGGTCACCAGACTATCACAGGGCTGACACATAGAGACAGACAACCATTCACACTCACATTCACACCTACGGACAATTTAGAGTCACCAATTAACCTGCATGTCTTTGGACTGCGGGAGGAAGCCGGAGTACCTGGAGAAAACCCACGCTGACACAGGGAGAACATGTAAACTGGGATTGAACCGGGAACCCTCTTGCTGTGAGGTGACAGTGCTAACCACTATACCACCTGGCTCAGATGTCGTCCTGTGACCTGAGGGTGAGACGTTGGTCAGGTGATAACTCTGGCTCCTTCTGAGTCGATGCTGTGATCAGGTTTGGGCTGGTGTTCACAGACGGCTGATGTCTGTGTCCAGTGATTATTCAGTCTGTTGTCCAGGGTCCTGGCCATGACCACTCTGTAGTGTTCCTTACAGCTGTTGCATATGATGCCTTACACAGCTTTGTAGGGTGTCCCAGCTGAAATCTTGTGGGCTAACATTCAACTAACAATATCTTTCATTAGTGATGAAGTATCCAGCTGCATTCTTGGTCAATTGTTTTGTCTAAAAATCGTGATAAATGCCCAATTTAGTTTTCCAAAACTCGATGGAAGTTATTTGTTTTGTTTGACCAGCTTTCTATAATCCAAAGATGTCAAGTTTAGTATCATATATGACCAATAAAAGTATTAAATGCTCGTGTTGGGGAGGCTGGACTGCTTTGCATTTTGATTTAAAAATGGCTAAATTGATTATACAGCTGCAGCATGAGTTTCTATTAATCCACTAACTGTTGAATGCTACAGAGATCTGCAATGCTTGTGTGATCGAACAAATTAAAGCGGTCGTTTTCTGCTCATTCCAGGACTGACTTATTTGCAACTCAGACACTATAAAGAGAAGCAAACCAGTGACAACAATGAGACCAGTCAAAAGGCTGACTTCTCATGGGGGCCACATGATCGTCACATTTGTACTAGCACTCATGATTTATTATCGAGTGGGCAAAGAATTGATTCAACACACTGCAGCAGTTATATAATCTGTATAAAAGTCCTTCTCACACATGTACAGAAAAACTTCAAGTCAAGACAATGAAAACATTCTTTTACATACTACTGTGTGCACGTCACCGTCTCTAGTTAGCTGCTCCATTTTCACATTTTTCCTTTGACCCTGTTCAGCTGTGTTTTGCTGTGGGGAAAAAAAGAAATTAAATGTCAGGCTCTCAGGAGAGGGATTTCTGAAAAGTGAGCCATTAGCAGAACATAGGCAAAGGCAGCTTCACCTTTTTCAAAAATGATGTCTGTCATTACTTGCTTTTAAGCTGCAGAGAAAAGGGAGCGAGCAGACTAATTAGCCGCGTTAACCGTCATATCAGCGGGAGTCTGATGTGTGCATTAAAAAAGCTGGAATTTAAAAGCAGTCATTATTTGACATCTAAATACATCTAATCTATATTAGCTGCCTCTGTTCTGTTACAGCATGTACTGTTCTTCTTTTGTTTCTCTCACACACAGTCCCTGCTCATTGTTCTGCCACAGTGTGTTCTTGTTTCTGTGTCTGCGTGTCTCTACCTGATGAGTGAGCTTTAAAATCTATTTTATGGATCTTGGGGTTTGTTCATAGCATCTCTGTCTTAACATGCTTTTGTTTGTGTTTGATCACCGGTGTTATTGAAAGGAGCTCATCATCGAATGTGAGGAAATAAGTTCAGATCCGAACATATTTTCATGGGTTTCTTAACTCTACTGCGCTTCGTCCACTTCGACCTGCTCGTGTTGCTGCACGTTGCTCCACTCTGCGAGCATTTGGCTGCAGATGTGTGTGAAAATTAGAGTGTGGAAATAAGCAAATACATTTAGTCACACTGTTGATTGCCTCTGTTCTGACACGCAGATTCACTAAGCGCCGACGGTAACTAGGCTGTTATCTTTCCTCTCTCTTGCTCATTAGCGTCGGGCAGAGTACAAACCATTCAGCAGCTTCTCATTTCATAGCCGATGCAGACCATGTATGTTTTGGGTTAGCCAATCAGAAAATGCTGTTTACATTGCAGTGTCTTTTGCAGAGTGATGATTGTAGAACACAGGCATATTTACAGTATCAGGTGTCAGTGTTTTGAACAGTATGCCTCTCTTCTCTCTCGTCTGTGTGTTTGTGCGTCTCTGTGTGTGTACCTGCAGTACTCCCTATGTAACGAGCCTCTGATCGAGCTGTCCAATCCCGGAGCGAGTGGCTCGGTCTTCTATCTCACAAAGGATGATGAGTTCATCATCAAGACTGTGATGCACAAGGAGGCTGAATTCTTACAGAAACTGCTGCCTGGATACTACATGGTAAGCAAAGTGTGTGAGTGTGTGAGGCTTAAAGGGACACTTCACAGACTTTCAACCAGCTTTGTATCATAACAATGTGGGTAGTATGTGTAAATGAACTGTGGTAATCTTATGCAGTGGTTATTGCTGGCTCTAGGGCTGTTGTTCGAACTACAAATTGTACTTCCTAATTTTTGAATGCCTGCCACCACTGACACAAAAGCCCTATTTCCACCACACACCTTCATTATGGTACCTTCGGGACAATAGTAACCCTTCAGACATGGTACCTAGACCCTAGCATCTCCACCGCAAACAGTACCCTTAAATGTGGGCGGGGTTGTTGTCACTCACTGCTCCGTCCAGCACTCACTGTATTTCCTCATTATCCGTGACACAGATGGAAGTCCACCTTGAAGTGCATTAGGGCTGTCAAAAAAAATTCGAAGTTCGAAATATATTCGAATGTATAGTTTTTTAATAAGTTTGATAATTTGATAATTCGAATATCATTAACAATTAATTAATACTATTAATAATGTTGTATATCACGGCGAATCCCGTTCGGGCAGAGATGGCTCGCGCACAAGCCAGGCCAGAGAAGGACGCAGCAATGGAGGAAGAGGCGCTGACGGAGGAGCCTGCTGCGCCAACACCACCCACTGCACTGTCTGCGATGCATGACCTGTTCGGGGAGACATACAGGGAGAGTGTTGCACCTGCTGCCTCCCTGCCTACCCTTTTTGAAGAAGAGATGAAACGTTATCAGAATGAGACACCACTACGAGCCGACCAGGATCCACTCTTGTGGTGGAAAACTACGCACTGAAGTATCCAAACGTTGCTCAGATAGCGAGACAGAAGTTGGTCATACCTGGCACTTCAATGAGGTCAGAACGGGTGTTTTCATCCGAGTGTCACGTTCATATTGCATCAGCAATAAGCATCTTATTTTTTGTGTTTTTTTGTAAAAAAATAATAAATTTGAATATTATTCGAACTCTACTTAATTAATTCGAAAATATTCAAACTCAATTTCATGGTGCTTTTGACAGCCCTAAAGTGCATCTTGTTTATCGTCCACAGAACGAGGCTGTATGCCGACATTTTCAGAACAAAATAGAACAGGCTGCAGTGAGAGTCTCTCTCCATGGGATATTTAAAAATAGCAGCTTTGTGCATTTAGTCCTTCTCAGGCAAGCTCAGGGGTTTAGTGTTGCCGGAGCCCACAGGAATGACGCTCTGCAATGCTTTTTTTTTTTCTCCAAGTGAGGATCAGAATATAGGCAGTTCACATAATACAGCCGAAATTAATATATATAAACTCTTGAAGATCCACTCATTACTATAAGTGTCTGTCATATAAAAGCTAAAGTAATGGTCACCTCATGCATTGAGTAACATTACAAGCAAACGTTCCACCTTAAAATTCGCCGGCAGTCGGCCCAGTGAATTAAGTTACTTTTTCTCCGACTACAGCTGCTGTGAGAGGCAGCAAAACTTACTTTCATTTAAGAGTTACAGTTTACTAATGTAAGTAAAACTCCACAGTATGAACAGTGGTCACATGAGCCTCAAAACCAGCCACAACTCAGCCCTGAGCAGAGTGACCGTCCTCTACTGACCAAGCAACAGACTGCAATGTTCACAGCTCCACCTTTTAGTGCCAGATCTGTGTGCTAGGTACCCCAACAGAGGGGGGACCAAACATGGGGACAGTACGGAACTGTTACACTGGTACCATCCACAACTTTTCACAGTGGAAACTGAAAAACCGCAGACCGAATTGAACTGAATGGTACTGTACTGTTCGGTGGAAACGGGGCTTAAGAGTATAGAGTCGGATCAAGGGAGAGACCCCCTCAAACACAGAGACTAAACTCTGATCAAAGGTTAAAACTAGGCAGTGTTGATCAAATATAAACCAAGATTCTGTAACTGCATTTCCTATTTTTAAACCTAAAATGTCTTCAGAAACATATTTAAGGCACTTTGTGGCTGCAATATGAGAATTTGTGAACAGCAAGTGGGTGCTATACTGTTTCCTGTACTGTAAAAGCTGAGGCTAAAAATACTGAGATCAAACGTTAGAACTAAGCAGCGCTGATTAAATACGAACCTAGATTCTGTCACTGCGTTGCCTAATTGTCACCTTTTCAGAAACATATTTCAGCACACTGTTTTACTGTAATTTGAACTTGTTTGTTGCCAGCTAGCTGCTATATTTTTTCCTGTATCAAAACAGGCAAACTTGCTTTCAGTCACCCATCAGCGAGGTTTTATACCTCTTGAGCTAAAGCGAATGCTACAGCCTGTTGCCTCTGTTTTTTCTGATCTTGTAGTAGCAATGTCAAAAGTATTTGTATCTCTCGTCTTTCTACTGCATAGATAGGCCAGTTTATGAAAAGACCATCTTTCCAGCTGTGAAATACTTTTTTTGTTTAACAAAAAAAATACATGCATCATAAAAAAGGATATTTGATATATAATGACATACAGATGGGTCCAAGAAGTATTACAAATTAAGCATTTTGAAAATCTCAAGTGGCACTAGGTGTAGTTTGCTTCCACTCAGAAGGGCATCAGCCTTTTAACAAAGTTTGTCTAAGTGTAGATAGTAAATAATTTAGGGAAGGGCTCCAGATCTTCAGAAATGAATTCTCATCATCGACAAGGACAGCACTAAGTCTTACATGAGGTAAGACACTAAACATCTCCTTGTACCAGACTGTTACTGCAGGTGGAGAATCTTTAATCCATTTCAACAGGATGTATTTACGAGCAAGGAGCAAAAGTTTGTCCAACAATTTATACTGGTTATAGGAGATGGCTACTACCTTTAGGGCAAACTCAGTAGGAACAGCCCTGGATCCTTCCTTATTGTTGTCCTAAATCAGGTTACACTCCCAAAAAAAGTGGAAAAGAGACTCCAGGTCTGTTTTCCACTTTCAGGTTTGGTAGTTTTCCTCTTTTTCTCCTCCTCACACGCACACTCAAACAAAACAACAGGCACATGCACCCACAGTGAAAACACAGGTTCATACACACTGCACAAACGGTGGAGAAGCTTGTCAGTGTTCATGTATCTCAGTGTGAATAGCCCTTTGCACACATGCATAAATACTGACCTCCACCTCTGATGTTCTTATTATGAGTCGTATTTTTAGATCTCAGGTTTATGTAAGACCCTGGAAATCTGTCCTCTGAGCGTGACATCCTTTTCGTATGAAGCAGACGTAACAGCTCTATCATCTCTGCCCGAAACCTTGGGCCATTCGGTTTCATAAGAGACTGGCCGATGTGTTTCACATAACAGAGCCTGGCTTGTGCCAACAGTGCCCTCCCTCCTCCTACTCTCTCCACAGTCTGCAGGCTCGTTCTGAATGAACTCAACCAGCAAACAGCTCCATGTATGTCCATGCTACTATTCCAGCCTCTTGAGGTTCACGGCCTTCAGCTTTGTGTTTATTCATGTGCCGACAGCTGCAGCCAAAGACCACTGCAGGGATTCATTTAATCATTTAGGGATGTTAAAGGCTCAGCGCATTTACTGTGACCTTTTCCGTCGACCTTAAAGGCTCTGAAGCCTTTCTTTGCAGGTGTAATTGGTCTAAGGAAAGAGAATTATTGAAAGCAGAGGGACTCAGGCTCCTGTTAGATGGCTGTAGCTTGAGGCTGGAGCAGGTGGACCGAGGAGAGGAGACAGAATAGCGCAGACGGGCAGGCGAGTCAAACCCACGCCAAGATAAACACAGAGAAGAAACCACACAAAACATCAAAGCGCTGCACATGTAACACCAAAACATAATTTGAGCCGTACAAGCTCATCTGTGTTTGTAACAAGCATAACACGCAGGCCGTCATTGGTGGAGCTCTTCATGTCTCCCAAAGCTGACTGGCTGACGGTAGTGGGCTGGCTGAGGAGTCTGGCTCTGGGCAGCATACAGATCACAGTGATGTAACCGACTCCACTGCTGCCACTTCTCTCCCTCCTGTGTATTCGCCCTTCTAGTCTTTCCATCTTCTCTCACGTTTTAGTGTCTTATCACTCTCCCTGCTGCTACGACTCTCGCAGTGTAATTTATTTCCCTTTTATCTCTCGCTCTGCCTGCCTCATGTTTTAATCCACTCGTTCTCCGGCCTTTCTTTTCTCGTGCTCATATTTGCTTTCCTCTCTCCCTCCCTCCTCTGCCTCACGTGTCCGTGTTGTTGGCTCGTCACTACTCTGCCCTCTTAACATTGACAGAAGGGTCGTGTGTGGCTGAGGGCAGAGGATGCTCTTTCTCTCTCACGCGTGAGCGCTCTCTCTCTGAAATCCCTCTCCATCGTTTTTCCGCTCTCTCTACCGGTTTCTCTCATCTGAAGGTCACTCACACAAGTGCTGAGCTTTTTAGTCATGCTTCCACATTCATCCTTCATCTCACCTCTGTCTGTTTCTGCTCCTGAATGCTGTGTGTTCTCACTATACGGACCACTGTCTCTGTCTCTTCCCTCTCATTTCTCTAATGGGACTGAACTGGCCCAGGTCCCAAGGTCAAAGCAGGTTTTTAACTAAGCACCCAGCCAGACTAACCTCATTTGTTTGGATTGGGTACTGAAATATTCACCACAGACTGGTGGCTGAGGGGAGAGTCTAGTATACAGTAAATGCAGAATCATGCAAAACACAGAGAAGAGTACATAGTTAAAGTGCTTTTGAGGAGCTTTATAGTTATCATCGGTGCCAATATGAGCGCAGATTGAGGGCCACTTTTTCCCAGTTCTTTCGGGGGCCCCAAACATTTGCCTCTTCTGATGTTGCACCTTAGCAGAGTGGCGGCAATTAGCTAGCCAGTGGGACATGAAGAGAGGGACTGACATGCACTAGCCTGCGCACACAGCTGGCACGGCTACCAAAACAAATAACAGAGAAGCTCGGATTGTAACACACTCAGAGGGAGCTTGACTTCATTCTCTGCCCAGGATGCCATTACTCCACTATATCTTTACAGAGCAAAATTGGTTAGCTGCTGTGTTAATGCTCTAAATGTCATTTATAGCTGCAGTTTCCAACTGGTGGGTCGCGGTCCAAAAATGGGTCACAGGTTCATTCTGAATGGACTGCAAGTAAAGCCTTGTTCACATTACACGACTGGCTGTCTTGAGTTGCGGAGATCTTTTCAGTGTTCATACCTGGCGACGTGTGTTTCTGTCATCGGCGTTACGGCCTGTGTGCACACCACAAGATTTTACTACCGAGCCCTCGCCGACAGAGCCCCAGATAATGTGATGATTGTGACGCCATGTCACGCGTGACCAAAACAGGATATTATGAAGTTCCGCAGTGCTAAGTGTCAACATGGATGTCCGACAGCTTGGAGCTCTGCAGGTTGTTTGCGCCCTGCTCTGCGCTGAGAAGAAACAGGAAAAGAAGAAAGGGATTTGGGTAAAGGAATGGGTTGCTGCATGCAGATCGCGCGGGTTGTCAACTCTGCAGAGAGAGTTGGAGGTGAGTTCTATGAATGAAACTTGGTTGCCACTGCGCCGCTAGCCTATTAGCTTGCATCGTACTGTCTATACAGTCTATGCATGTATTCTGATCCAGATTATTGTACCTTTCATAGCTGAATGGGTTTTCGGGAAATGCTACGGATGACAGCGGAGGACTTTGATTTCTTGCTGGGGCTGGTAGAGCCGTACATCGCAAGATCCAGTCGTGCCATATCCACTAGAGAACGTCTGTCCTTGACCCTGCGTTATCTGGCTACAAGTTGGTTATTTAAATTGCGTGGAAGTAAAAATAAATGAATAAGATCTGCCTCCAGAGCCTGGGTCCAAACACAGCACGCACTATGTGCTCCTGTGGACGCTGCTATTGTTGTTGCTTGCCGGCTTGTCCTCCTCACATTTATTCTGTCCTCCTGCGTGCTGACGTGGGACGTATCCCGCCTCTCATTGGCTGATGCTCTTTGTCAGTCATGTCACACCAGTTTTCTAGCATGCCAGATATCCAATCCCAGTCACAGACGAGGGGGCGACTGGCTCGGAGGGTTGTTCACACATGAGGGCAGTCTATCTGCCGACTCACCTCCCACCCAAGGTGGCTCTCGAGATCCTCTGCAACGTCAAAATCGTGGCGAAAATTGTGTAATGTGAACAAGGCTTAACTCGCAAACATGTCACGTTTGTAAAAAAACACACTTCCTTTTGAAGTTCCATGAATTTCCAGGGCAGAGCTTTTATTTCCTGCCATAGAGTGAGTGAGTAACTAACAGACAGCTACTTGACAGAGACAGCAAACTAGCTCGATGACACAAGGATGGCGCTGAATATAGTAAAATGTGTGGACCATGAACTATAGTAAGGAGAAAACTGGACCCTGGAGCTGGACCACTTGGGAACCACTGATTTATAGAAGTTTATAGGATCAGGGTGCTTCGTTACAGTGCCATTGCACTAGTCTTGTCATTATTGTATTATATATGTTCTTTGTACTTAATACTAAATTATGGTCTTAGGTTAATAATCTGATTGTAAATTTTAAGGTCTGTTGTAGGGTTGCAACAGTTGTTGTCATCATTGAATAATCTACACCGATTTTCTCTAATAATAACTTCTTCATGTGGTCAATAAAATGTTAAAATGGCTGTCACAGTTAGCTAAAATACAACATGACATCCTTAAATTTCCTTCTATCCTCTTATAATCACACAAGACAAAGAGAAGCATCATAACAACAGAATGTTTGGTATTTCTGTTAGAAGAAATGACTTCAACAATTAATCAAATACCAGTTGGTGATATTAGGAATGTAATCGCAGTTTGAGCGTGACCACTTCCATGTTTCATAGCACTGTGAGCTCCTGACTTCTGTTCACTCTCTGTTATGTAATGCCTCCTGGTGCAATCAGATGGAGAAATGTGTAACTGTGGACAGTGTGTGTACACTGAGAATTTTGTATTGTTTATCAATTACCTATTTACAGAACATGCGTCACCTGTCCTGCTGCTCATGTATTTTTGTAACACTTAAAGGTCTCATGAAATGAAAAATGGTTGCACCGTGTTCCTGGATGTGTTTTATTTTTAGATATTTTACATTAACGTGCTAACCTTTTCTCCTCCTGTGAAAAAAAACATAGCACATCTTGGTCTCGGGCATTAATGAAAATTATATCCTGCAAAATGTCATCATACAATTTGAGGTGACTCAGCCAGCTTTTCCCCACGATTAAATCCCTCAAATAATTTCCCTCCAATATTAAATCCTGCCTCTACATCCCGTCCAAGCGCAGCAGGAGAAGCTGATTCATGAGCCTTTTCTGTCATGCTCTCTTTTCCAGAACTTGAACCAGAACCCTCGCACTTTGCTTCCCAAGTTCTTTGGCCTCTACTGTGTCCAGTCGGGCGGGAAGAACATCCGCGTGGTGGTGATGAACAACGTCCTTCCCCGCGTGGTTCGTATGCACCTCAAATATGACCTGAAGGGCTCCACCTACAAGAGGCGAGCATCCAAGAAGGAACGAGAGAAGGCCAGGCCCACTTTTAAAGACCTGGACTTTATGCAAGACCTGCAGGACGGACTGATGCTGGACCAGGACACTTACAACGCGCTGGTCAAGACCCTGCAGAGAGACTGCCTGGTGAGTTAAATGGAGGGAGAGGATACTTCACTTGCTCTGCTTCTGTTTTTGAACAGGCGAGAGAGATGGCAAGAAGGAGGGGGAATGAGCTTAAGGGGGAAAGGCGAGAGCGGTTACTGATTCTGAAGGAGGATCCATATAACACCCTCATCAGGAGTCTCCAGAGAGATCCTCCAGAGAGAGAGAGTGGGATCCTAGGCAGGAGTGGTTAGCAGAAGGATTAGAGGAATGATAGAAGGAGGGATAAAGTGAAGCTATAATGGAGCGTCTCAAGGGGAAAGATAGATAAAGAGACATAGAGTAGAAAGTCCACAAAAGGAAATGGAAAAAGAGTTGGCAAAGCCAGGATTCTGTGGTGCCCTGGTTCGTAAAATAGGGTCATGGATGGAAGTGAAGAGGCAGAGAGAGATGTAATAAGATATTTATGAGGGTGTTCGGCATTCCCAGGACCCCTCACTATAAATTAAAGCTTTGTTACGAGCACCAGGTTTAACAAGGTGTCTGGTCTGGTAGCAGGCCTGCCCTTGTCTTGAAAATCACCGCCTCACATTTACTCTCATAGTGCATGTGCTTGGGGAGTAAATGTGCACACACTGGCTATCTTATACATTTTTTATGAATGTGTGCATCACTATAACTTCCCCAGCGTTACGGTTCTTATTCCCCCTGGTGCTGACACCATTACGCGCTCTTGATAAAAGCTATCACCCCAATTTATATGTCAGTCAGTCACCACGCACTTCAACCTGTCTGTGCGTGTCCTTTGCTCAGGTGCTGGAGAGCTTCAAGATCATGGACTACAGTTTGCTTCTCGGGGTTCACAACATGGACCAGGCGGAGAGGGAGAGGCAGATGGAGGGCTCCCAGGGCAGCAGCGATGAGAAGAGGCCCGTGGCCCAGCAGAAGGCCCTGTACTCCACCGCCATGGAGTCCATCCAGGGAGGAGCCGCCTGCGGAGGGTCCATCGACACTGACGACACGTGAGTTCAGCCAGAGAGACGAGAAGCTGTTGGCAGAGCTGCGTGTTAAACATTACACTTAAAAATAAAGGAGGGGAGCATGTCTCTGACCTGCACTTTCATGCCATAACAATAATTATAAATAAAGTGCAATATAAATTAGCAACAATTAACTTTTTAAAAGCTTTTTAACCTACTATAAGACTTGATATTTTCAGCGTAGGTGGGCCTCTTCTCGTCTAAAAAGTTAAAACAAGCTTATGAAACAAGACCTGAGAGATTTAGAAGGTGACACTGAAGCAGGTCGCTCCACTTTTAAGTGAGTCTGATGGCAAACTTGAGATTTACCCATCAAACAGTCGGTCGTGTCGTGCCAGAAGATCTCAGGCTGCGCTCAGGTTCAGTGGGGATTAAAAGGTCAGCCGTGGGGATGTAGGGCCAAAACCTGCCCGCTTTAAGATCAAGGCAGGAGTGAGGAAGCTGCTTTAGAGTAAGAGAGAGTCAATAATATGAATCAATGAATGTTAGTGTGAATGACTACAGATGAAACCAGCTTGATTCTCATTCTACATTTTAGTAAAAGAAAAAGAAAGGTCCTGTTTTTACCGTTAGGTCACACTGGTGATAGAAACATCTCGCTTTAGAGGCCCAAATCAAAAGAAACCTTGTCATTAGTTTAAAATATTAATTATTACAGTGCAGTGAAACACAGCTGTTATGGGGTTATGGGTTATTTGGTCCATAACATCTCAGTTTGTAAAGCTGTAGCTCCCACCTCCAGTCATTTAAACCAAGAGCACTGCTGGCTTTATATCAAGCCATCTAACTGGGTCTTATATAAACCTTTAACATGCAAAGAATGCAGTTAGGCCCTGTCTACATGTACACAGATTAAAACTGATATTTTTCCACTCTGTTTAAAAAAAGATCTGTCCAAACAACCGTAATTTTAAAAATATCTACAAGGCAATAAAGGCTGTGTCAATTATGCGTCAGACACCAAAAAGGAATGATTCAAAACTGTGATTTCTGGCAGATTTTAAACCGCAGACCCTTTACGCCCAGTTCAGACCAAAGATTCACGACGAGACGAAACCGTTTTAGAACATTGCAGATAAATGTTGCAGCAGTGTGAACTGGCTGTCTGAGCTAGACTCAAGCTGGCTGTTGGTGTCACCTGCAACTCAAGTGGTCAAATCACCGGCAGCTGGTTTTAGAATGTGAAGCTCATCACCTGTTTAAACAGCCATTTGGCTTCTAGTGAAGTCCACTGCTCAAGTCAAAATGACTTGATACAGAAAATGTCAAAAGTCTGTTTCTGTCCTCACGGTGTGCTAGTGTTGGACGGTGGGTCGCTGCTGCTGCTCGCTGTATTATATTGTGGCGAATTCACTATGAATACAGTCCATCTGATGCTCGTTTTACGTTTTCATCACTACTACAAATGCAGCTGTAACCAGTATCTCACTATCACTATCCTCATTTATATCTTGAGAAGCTACAAATTATATTCAGCCACAAAATAAGCCTGAGAAGCTGCAAATCAGAACAGAAGTACAGAGAGTTATTGCATAGAGATGCTACACCGTCTCATCTCATTGCATTGATGTGAACTGTCAGGTTTTTAGAACATTGCAGAACGGCACATTGGAAGTAGTTGCCTTTTTTTAAAAGATATTTTTTGGGACATTTTGCCTTTAATGGACAGGACAGGTAAGTGTGAGAGGGGGGATGACATGCAGCAAAGGGCCACAGGCCAGTTTCGAACCCGGGCCGCTGCAGCAACAGCCTTGTATATGGGGCGCCTGCTTCACCCACTTAAGCCCTATTCGGACGGGATTAGTTTTACATAGGGACGAGGGGTAAAGTAATAATTACCAGAGATTTTAGTCCCGTCCGAATGTGCCATGTCAGTAATCATTACAGCACGATGTCAGTAAAGATTACCGTGACTTTTACCTTCTGTAAAAGGGCCCAGGACAATTACCTCAGGTAATACTAATCCCCTGCAAATAGACCAGCTGTAAATATGTGTGTTAGGACGTCCTGTGGTAAAGTGACATTACCCCACGTGCCCATGTAAAACTAATCCCGTCCGAATAGTGCTTAAGCCACCAACGCCCCGGAAGTAGTTGCCTGTTACAACTTGTCTCGTCCTGAATCTTTGGTCTGAACTGGGCTTGAGCTGGACCAATGTGAAGTGGTTCTGCAGTGCTAACAAAACATAAACCTGTAGTCTGTCGTCGTTGTTCTGAATTGAGGAGATGATGTAATTGTTTCCCAAAAGCTCCATTTAAAATGTAAATACAGACACAAAGTAATCAGGGTTTTCAAAAATGTTCCCTTTAGTAATCTAAAACTGTTTGAGTGTTGACGTGAGGCCAAAACGTTGGGGAAAATATCTGTTTTCAAAAATCTCTTTAACATGGAGACAGGGCCTTCATTCAATGCCACTTAGCTTGTATGAAGTGATGTGATTTTATAATTCAAAATGATGTTTAAAAATGTGGAAAAACTGAGGCTTTCCTGTAGCTGCTGCATGATAAAAGCCTCAATGTATTCTCCATTCTGGACAGTGTTTACTGTGAGTTATCAGTAGGAAGTGTTAACAGTATATTAACAGCATCCAAATGCACAGACCTTGTGACATACTTTTAATTTCAGCTGTATTCTGCTTTTCATTTCAGCATGGGCGGTATCCCAGCTGTGAACGGAAAAGGGGAGAGACTTCTTCTCTACATCGGAATCATCGACATCCTGCAATCCTACAGGTGATCATCACAGCACTCACAGTAGCCATCACCACAGGTCATCAGCTGTATATCTTCCAGTGTGACACAGGCTGTAGATGGAAGTCATATAAGTAGATGTACATACTGTGCCTGCCTACTGCAGCAGACTGTTTTAACTCCTACACTAACTCAACTTAATGATTTGAGACAGCACATGTAAGGTCCTCAGCCTGCAGGCATGTCCCCTATATTTATTTGCCTGTGATCCTAAAATATAAGACACGTTTAACATCACTGTGCGTCTCTTTGTTTCCGCAGGCTAATCAAGAAACTGGAGCACACGTGGAAGGCTCTGGTTCATGACGGGGTGAGTTTTTAATAGCTGCTCACAGAGAGACAGTACACACACACTCATACAGGAGCTCAAACTCAGAACATATTTCAGCAGAACACACTGACTCTTTTCTAATGAGGAAACAAAAACATATGAAATTGTTCTTGTCCTAACTGTCTCTTGTATTATCACATAATCCAGACATGTGACTGTGTTTGTTTACATCCAGTCTGGCTCTCTGTGTTCGGAGAGTAAACAAAAGAACAACAGTAACGTTAAGCGAGGCCCAGACTCCACAAACAGTAGCCTCGAGCAGTTTTTGGATCTTTTCGTCGTAGGACTTTTATTAGCTTCAAGTTTGGCAGTGGTCATTGTTTTGAAGAAGAGCCTGTCTGTGTGTGTGTGTGTGTGTGTGTGTGTGTGTGTGTGTGTGTTTTTCCATTTCGCTCTTTTTCAAACTGTACAGCTAACTATGAACATCCTGCCGGCCCAGTCGATCCATCCTCCTCGTACTTTTCACAGTTATTGTAGAAGTTACAGGCCTGTGTAGACACATTAATGTCTCTGGGTGTGTTTGTGTATTAAATCTTATTAGACATTAGCTGTATAAGCAGAGCGGAGCTACGGGTTACTCGGATGTGAATTATACGCCTATCACCAGCTGCAGTTTTCTTTTACTGAGCTAATATTTTAATAGAGCTGTGAACTCCACATGAGTTCAGTCTCATTGTTTTCTGTCATTGCCATGAAGATTACTGAGTTTGGCTCGTGTTAAATCACCTTTATGAACATTCGGCCTTTGCTGAAGTAACACAGACACACAGACACGGTGCTGTGCTGCACAATCTCCTAATTGTATACATACATTTTTACTATTATATTTGTACATTTTGAAAAATGTGTTGGCTCCTCTCAATAGAGAACTTGGAGAGTTGCCGTCCCCTCCTGTCGTCATGTGCGTATGACATTGCTTCCTGTGTGTACCACACTCCTTCCAGGCAAAACATTATTATTATTATGAACTGATTAGCCTACTGGTTGATTTTATTGTCATTTTTTATTAGCCACATAGCCCTGCTACATTGCATACTTAACTTACCTAAAGCAATCAGAAGTCCTGTGCCTCAGACAAGTGCTTGCGACCTTCTTTTGGTTTTGAATCGTGTTCGTCGTAGACCAACAGTACCTGAGGTTTCACACAGACTTGTCCGACTGTGAAGTGCAAAACTGAGTGCTTCTTCAATGAGCCTCCATGCTTGAAAATCCACGAAAAACCACTTGTTAACAGGATATGTAGAAATATCTACACACATATTTACTGCTGGTCTATTCGCACGGGATTAGTATTACCTGAGGTAATTTTCCGGGAACCTTTTACAGAAGGTGAAAGTCACGGTAATCTTTACTGACATCGTGCGGTAATGATTACTGACATGGCACATTCGGACAAGACTAAAATCTCTGGTAATTATTACTTTACCCCACGTACCTATGTAAAACTAATCCCGTCCGAATAGGGCTTTAGAGATAGGCAGAGGAGCTCAGACATCCAGAGACAGTTCTTTCCCACCGAGAGGGGCCAGTTGAGGTAGCTCGAGCATCTGATTAGGATGCCTCCTGGGTGCCTCCTGTTAGAGGTTTTCCAAGGGCACGTGCTACTGGTAGGAGGCCCCGGGGCAGACTCAGAACATGCTGGAGGGTTAAGATACCTCATCTGGCCTGGGAATGCCTCGGGATCCCTCAGGAGGCGATGGAAAACGTTGCTAGAGAGAGGGACATCTGGTATACCTTGCTCAGACGGCCACAGATAAGCAGATAAAAATGGATGGATGGAGGAAAGCAATGTTTAATTCAAGCCTGATGAGACCTTGGACATAAAAGAATGATCCCAGCCACCTCTACGCAATGAGGCATACAGTGTATTGATTAAATACTGATATTGGATCGGTACTCTGTATTGACCGATACCCAAAGCACAGGTATCAGTACCAGGACTAAAGAGGCAGATTGGTACATCAACAAATTATGACCACATTCATTTCTTGTTTACTTGCATAAACAAGCAAGTGTGTCACAGTCTTTGTTGCATAAATGCATGCGTAAATCTTTCAAAGCATTCAAAATGCCTGGTGGTAGAATGGGCAAAAGGATGATGAAGAAAGAAAGCCCCTCACATCTCGTCACCTACTCCGGTGCTTACACTGTACATCATCACCAGGCTGTTCTCAAGATAGAATCAATCCCATCCGTCTCTCCTTACTCACTACACTCTCCCACTCTGCACCACACTCATACGCCAGATATATGTAGGAGAGCAAGCAGCCCCGTAACAGCCTCCTGTGCGTCATGATGATGATGATAATAGGCACACCACACTCTCCGTTTGTTGCTTGCATTTGCCTCAGTTAGGTGAAAGCCTTCAGAGATGTTACTCATGGTGAAGTCCAGTCACGCTGATGCAAAAGAGCTAATAATAACCGAGCTGCTGTCTCTTCACTTCCTCAGTCTCCTCCATCCTCCTATCAGTCCAAACCAAACACCAAGTGTCATCTGTCACTCTGCTGGCAGCGCGATCTCAGTCTGCTGCAACATAAATAATGAAGAGACATGTCTGTGCTCTTGTCTGACTGCGTCTCTGTCTGTCATTTGTCTTTGTTTGCTATGTGTTGTTCTGTCTGCTGGTGTGACCCCGAGAAAAGAATTACTGAAATGGGACTAATAGACGGTTTAATCCCCATGTAAACACTGCTCTGATCATTTTATCCATGCACTGATTGTCTCATTAATCTCTCTGTCTCTCCCTCAGGACACTGTATCAGTCCACCGGCCAGGCTTCTACGCCGACAGGTTCTTCAAGTTCATGAGCAACACGGTGTTCAAGAAGAGCTCCTGTGAGTTCAGTTTATGTCCAGACACTGCCTTACATAGTCAGAGTCACGGGGCTGTGTGGGAAGAGCCACAGACGCAAATGTCAGATGCCAGGCTTTTGTCTTCTTTTACTGCTGAGCCTTGACAGGAAAATCAGATACAGAGGCTAACTGCCTTATTAGGTGCTGCTTCATGTCATGTGAGAGTCTAACATCTCTTTGATCCCTGCACAGATTGCTTTTCCATCACTTTTCAAAGACTTGTTGTAATGACGCAGGACAGCAGATGTGATATTTTCATTTTAAAATCTTTTAGGTTTTATTTCTGCTCACAATTTAAATTGTTTTACTGCCTCACAAGTTAGAGATGCTGAGAAACATGTAGCCAGTCACAAACATATTGCCATTGACTAACAGGTTGAATTAATGCGCTGATACATTTCACTTTTAGATGTCAGTCTGATGTTTAGATGTGTGATTTGGGTAGGCGGACCCTTTTAAAACTTTGGGTTTTGGCATGACTTTCAAGTTTTTCCTTCTGTGCGTCTATCGAAATTCCTTTGTGCTTCTTCAGAGCTAAGCTAGCTCTCCAAATTCAAGTTAATACAAATGAACAAAATCTTCAATAGCAGTGAACAAAAACCTTGTAAGGTACCGCAGGGTTTGCGAATTTGCCTGGTAACTAGGTTGGCTATGCTAATGAGTAGACTTGCCAATAGACGAGAATATTAGCTAGCTAGCTAGGTAGACTATGCTAACAAGTAAGCTTTCCGACAGGCTAGAATATTAGCTAGCTAGCTTGCTAATTAGGTGTGCTATGATAACAAGTAAGCTTGCCATTAGGCTAGAATGTCAGTGAGTTAGCTTGCTAAGTAGGTAGGCTATGCTAACAAGTAAGCTTGCCAATAGGCCAGAATATGAGTGCGTGAGTTAGCTAACTAGCTAAGTAGGTATGCTATGCTAGCAAGTAAGCTTGCCATTAGGCTAGAATGTCAGTGAGTTAGCTTGCTAAGTAGGTAGGCTATGCTAACAAGTAAGCTTGCCAATAGGCTAGAATATTAGTGAGTTAGCTTGCTAATTAGGTAGGCTATACTAACGAGTAAGCTTGCCAATAGGCTAGAATGTTAGTGAGTAAGCTTGCTAAGTAGGTATGCTATGCTAACAAGAAAGCTTGCCAGTAGACTAGAATATTAGTGAGTTAGCTTGCTAAGTAAATAGGCTATGCTAACAACTAAGCTTGCCAATAGGCCAGAATATGAGTGTGTTAGCTAGCTAAGTAGGTATGCTTTGCTAACAAGTAAGCTTGCCAATAGACGAGAATATTAGCTAGCTAGCTGACTAACTAAGTAGGCTATGCTATCAAGTAAGCTTGCCAATGGGCTAGAATATTGTTCAGTAACAAAGAGTAAAGATAATATCATTTTTCAGTTGCAAATTCCTGCTATCAGCACATTTACCCTCCTTTTTTCCCTGTTGATCCTGGATAGATTTGGTTCGGTTTATCCAGGATCAACATCATTATCATCACGCAGATTCTGCATTATTTGTTTATGTCAACATCAACATAGCAATGATGGTCCTGGATCAATATTTCTAAGGATTCTGTTGAATTGTACTAATTTCATTTTGCAAAACTAGCTTAGCTCTAAAGAAGCACACATTTTATTTTGAAAGAAGCACAGGAGCAGCACACTGATGATGTCAGAGGGCTGTGATTGGTTAATAGCAATGTTGGTCCTGGATATGCTTTAGGGATATTGATCCAGGAGCATGTCCTACTTGGCAAAATCACATCTGAGTCAATTGATCACTATAAATGGATGATTATTTTAACAGATTTTTTCTCATACAGATTACCATACGTTTATTACATTGATATATATATATGTAGTCATGGAACGGACGGCTTTGCTATTTACTGAATTTTATTGACTTGTTCAAATTCTGCACAGCTGTTTCATTACATGACAATCTACCTGTTGATGGCAGCTTTAACCACAAGTGCTTTCCTAGTGCATTATTTTTTTGGTCTCCATCACCAGCAGCCTTAAGCTTCGAGGACAGTTATTTTTTCAATGGGATAAAATGGCTCTCTGTAAAAGTAGCCCTAATATGTATTCTGACAGCATAATATCACACTTCTGTGTTTTCCATGTTTTAATTGAACGTGTCAATGTGCATTGTCCATCAGCTCTGAAGTCATCTCCATCCAAGAAGGGCCGTGTGTCGTTGTCGGTGCCTAAGTGTGCCGGTCCTGGTGCAGCCTGGTCCGCCAGCCAGCTGCCCTCTGAGAGAGACGAGAACATCTACGACCTGAGAGGAGCTCGCAGCTTCCCAACGCTGGAGGACGAGGGTAAGAAACACTGCAGTGACAGTCACAGATAATAGGAAACAGAGTCACCAGAATTCCCCCTCTTACAGTCATTGTAGGGTTTGAGTGGTTGGAGATTTTCCACTTTGCCTGAAGGCATCTTGGTCTCTCTACAGTTCACTGCATGTCAGAGTAAAGTGTAGTTCAGGTCACGTTGGGAAGGAATGCAGCTTCTGTCCTTGTGACATGAAAATGTCTCAGTCCCCTCTTGTAAACAAAAACACCTCTGATCTTATCATCTGAAACAAACTCCAAGAGAACTGCAACTTTCAGTTCTTTCAAAACAAGGTTGAAGACTCTTCTTAAACAAAATAATTATTGATCTCTCACACTGCACTGTAACTTTTATTCTTGTATTTTATACCTGTCGTATTTTAGTTTGTTTTTTTTTTATTCTCTTTAATAACTGTTAATTGGAGTTTAATGTCTTTTATAATGTGTTAATTTTGCACTTTGACACCATACTTAAATTTTACGTAAAGCACTTTGAATTTCCCTCTTGCTGAAATGTGCTGTATAAAAAAGTCCCTTACCTTGCCTAAACAATAAGCTTTAAGCTGTTGCCATGGGAATCAAAAGGTTACGCAAGCAAAACAGCACCTCAGAAAAAGTGACATTATGTGCTTAAAATAGAAAAATAACAGGTACCAGTTCTGTCTAAGAAAAATAATGATATTTGTGTGTGTGTGTGTGTGTGTGTGTGTGTGTGTGTGTCTCCTCCTCCAGGGCGACCAGATCTTCTTCCATGTACTCCTCCGTCATTTGAAGAAGCTACCACAGCGTCGATCGCCACCACGCTCTCTTCCACCACCTCTCTGTCCATCCCCGAGAGATCCCCCTCTGACACGGCTGAGCATCCCCGCTACAGGTGTTAACACACACAGACACACACACACACACACACACACACACACACACACGCACATAAAAATACTCTGAAACACTGGAGTCATCCAGGACCCTAACATTTATTTCATATCATAGTGACCAAGAGAAATAAATGTCTTGTTTACAGTAAGCAGTAAATCATTCTTTTGTCATATTAATCTGACTAAAATCCTTAAAGGGAACTTACTATGCTAATTTTCAGGTTCATACTTACATTTTGGGATTTTACTTAAACAAGTTTGTGTTGCAGGTGGGAGGAATGACTGTAATAGTAATAGTAAGAGTATAGTGGCATTTTTACCATGAAGAATCTAAACCAGAATCTCACCGAACATGTTTAAGCACAAATCTGATCTGAAATCCAAAATCAGAGAGAAAGTACAGCGCCTTGCAAAAGTATTCACCCCCCTTTGCTTTTTAACTATTTTGTTAGATTCCAACCTGTAATTTAAATGTTTTTCATCTGAAAATTTCATGTGATGGATCTGCACAAAGTTATCTAAGTTGGTGAAGTGAAATGAGAAAAATATATAAAAAAGAATAATTTAAAGAAATAAAAAAGTGAAAATTGGCATGTGCATATGTATTCACCCCCTTTGCTATGAAGCCTCTTAAAAAGCGCTGGTGCAATCTATTACCTTCACAAGTCACAGAATTAGTTAAATGAAGTCCACCTGTGTTCAATCTAAGTGTCACATGATGTGTCACTATAAACACACCTTTTCTGAGAGGCCCCAATGGGCTGCAACTCCACTTAGCAAGAAGCATCACATCATGAAGACCAAGGAGCTCTCCAAACAAGTCAGGGACAAAGTTATAGAGAGATACAAGTCAGGACTGGGTTATAAAATAATATCTCCATCTTTGATGATCCCCCGGAGCACCATCAAATCCATAATCACCAAATGGAAACAACACGGGACCACAACAAACCTGCCAAGACAGGGCCGACCACCAAAACTCACAGACCGGGCAAAGAGGGCATTGATTAGAGAGGTAACAGAGAGACCAAAGGTAACCCTGAAGGAGCTGCAGAGTTCCACAGCAAACACTGGTGTGTCTGTCCATAGAACCACAATAAGCCGTACACTCCATAGAGCTGGGCTTTATGGAAGAGTGGCCAGAAAAAAGCCTTTACTTAGTGTTAAAAACAAGAAAGCACGTTTTGAGTTTGCCAAAAAGCATGTGGCCGACCCCCTAAATGTATGGCAGAAGGTGATCTGGTCAGATGAGATTAAAATTGAACTTTTTGGCCACAAAGGGAAATGCTATGTCTGGCGGCAACCCAACACATCCCATCACCCCAAGAACACCGTCCCCACAGTGAAACATGGTGGTGGCAGCATCATGCTGTGGGGATGTTTTGCAGCAGCAGGGACTGGGAAACTGGTCCGCATAGAGGGAAAGATGGATGGTGCTAAATACAGGGACATTCTGGAGCAAAACCTGTTTCAGTCTGCCTGTGATTTGCGACTGGGACGGAGGTTCACCTTCCAGCAGGACAATGACCCAAAGCATACTGCTAAAGCTACGCTTGAATGGTTTAAGGAGAAGAAGTTAAATGTGTTAGAATGGCCTAGTCAAAGCCCGGACCTCAATCCAATTGAAAATCTCTGGTTTGACTTGAAGACTGCCGTTCACAAGCGGAAACCATCCAATTTGGGGGAGCTGGAGAAGTTTTGCCATGAAGAATGGGCAAAAATCCCAGTTGCAAGATGTGGCAAGCTCATAGAGACTTATGAAAAGAGACTTGCAGCTGTAATTGCTGCAAAAGGTGGCTCTACAAAGTACTGACTTCAGGGGGGTGAATAATTATGCACACTGAAGTTCTTTGTTTTTGGGCCTTTTTGTTGTTTGCTTCACAATAAAAAAAATTTTTCACATCTCCAAAGTTGTTGGCATGTTCTGTACATGAAATGATGCAAATGCTCAAACAATACATTTTAATTCCAGGTTGTGAGGTTTTAAAACGTGAAAAATTCCTAGGGGGGTGAATACTTTTGCAAGGCGCTGTAAGAACATCAGCCTCCAAGATTACGTGTTTCCCTGGCACTGACATATAGCTACATGTAGCAGCTGGGGAATGACTGTAACCAAGTATAGCTGTACTTTCTACGATGGAAATCACCAATAAGCTTCTAAACACTACTGGACATGTTTTAGCAGGAATATGATCTGACACTGGGTAGAAATTATGAACATCAATACCCAAAATGACATGTATCGCTAACACTAGCGTGTAGCTACATGTAGCAGTGTACTTGCAGCTAGGGATGATTTTAACCATGTATAGCGGCATTTCTCCGGTGAAAAATCTAAACCAAAATCTTACCGGACATGTTCAAGCACAAATCTAATCCAAAATCACAGAGAAAGTATTAACATTGGCAACCAAGATTACGTGTTTCCCTGGCACTAACATGTTGCTACATGTAGCACTTTACTTGCAGCCGGGGAATGCAGTGTAGGGGGATTTTTGCAGTGAACATCACCGCTAAGCCTCTAAATTGGACATGTTCCAGCAGGAATATGATCTGAAACTGGGGATAAATTCTGAAAAACAGCACCAAATAACATGTTCCGCTGATGCTAGCATGTAGCTACATGTAGCAGTTTACTTGCAGCTGGGGAATGACTGTAATAGAGTATTGCAGCCCATTCTACAGTGGAAAATCTTCACAACCCAACATGTTTTAGCAGGAATATGATCCGAAACCGGGGAGAAAATAACAACACCAGGCAACCAGGGTTACATGTTTCCCTGACGTTAGCATGTAGCTGCATGTAGCAGTGTATCTATTTTTGGGGGGGGGGGGGATTTCCTTATCCGCTGTGAGGGTTCAAAGGACAGAGGGATGTCGTATGCTGTAAAGCCCTCGGAGGCAAATTGTGATTTGTGATATTGGGCTTTATAAATAAAATTGATTGATTGCTATGTAATGTAAACACTTGCAGTCGTGTGCCTGGAGTAGATGACGACATAAAAAATTCTTCACAAGCTGATGTCAGCTTGTCTCGAAAGAAGAAAAAAAATGTTGAAAACAGAGTGTTCAGAACAGTCTGAAGCCTGAGATTTTTGCTCACAGGGATTACCTTTACATATGTTTACTTCATTATTTGAAACTTTGGCCATGTTAAATAAAAACATCCAACATTGTAACATTATGTATGTGACAGAAAATGAGGAAAAGCATAATAGGTCCCCTTTAAAACAGTTTAAACAGAGAAAATTCACATTATAGTGTCAGTAGTTAATCATGTGAACACTTTAGGAGCCACAGCAACATGTTGAACGTCAGCTAGCTGCTGCAGTTGTCATAAACAGCTTGTTCTGACACTCTGTCCTTTGTCTCCAGGAGGCACACCCAGTCTCTCAGCCATGATGGGAGGTGAGTCAGGAGCATGAATGCTACTTTCACCTCATAAACCTTTTTAAGCATATTTTACTGCACCGTTCTACAACGTTGTGAGGGTTGCCAGCTTCATGTTTTCACAGCATTAGACATTTCTGGGTGTGGTTGGGTGGGTAGAGGAGAAAATGTGAGGTCAGCCTGTTGGTCGGTGTGTTTTCTGAGAAGGCCCATTCTTCCTGTTGCTGAGATGTGGCTGTGTTTGTTTTCCACATGTGTTTCATTTCCTCTGTGCATGGTATTTTATGTGTTTGTGTTCAGGACCCAGGAGGAGCTGCGTGTGCGTGAGGAGGATCAGCAGACCATCACAGTGGAGGTGGAGCTGAAGAGACACGACAGCGAGCCAACCATCTCCATTCCACAGCCTTCACCTGAAGCCAGGTACACCAACAACACAGTGGGGAACAGAAATAATATGTTATCAACATCTTCTAGAGCCACAAAATTTACTGTAATAGAAAATTAGAATTCACAGATATAACAATAATAAGCATCTCTCTTCTTTTAATCAGTGAATTTGAGTCTCTCCTTCACTGAACAGACTGAAGAGACGACGTTATCTAGAGTCAAATCCTTGAGCTGCTTCTTAGACTCTAACTAATGCAAGACATCCTTGGAAGCAGTGAGAGCACCTATAATTATTTACTGAGACATTTTCTGTAACCAGTCAATTCAAATTAAACTTAATTTAATGAAACATCTCAAATATAAGCCAAGAGGCCATGAAGTCTTTCACTGTTAATGGACTGACTGCGACAGTTAGAAAGAAGTGCACTTACCATACCTCTGTAGCAGCTCCTCCTCTCTGCTTAAAGCTACTAGTGGCAACATTACCCCAAATCTCTGAGTGGACTCTTGGCAGTGCTGTTGCATTTGGGCCTGTGTCCACATAGCATTTTTCGTCATGGGTATGTTTCCATGAGAATCTTGACACTGACATTAACTAGGTAGCTAACATAATGCTACATTAACAGAAGGTTGACTACACAGTTAAAGCTTTACAAAATGAACAGTGATAAAAAACACAATACACACCAGCAACATCCAGTGTCCGTTGGCTGACCTGCTCCCGAAAAAAATGGGCTTTTCTGTCTTTGTTGTGATGGTTAGACGGTAGTCTTGCTACAGGAGCATCAGTGACTTCACCTGTGCCTTTCTGGAAAGTTCAGAGATTTTAAATTTGAGGCGCTTCAGGCGGCTGCACAAAAAAGGCAGAGCACACAAAAAAAAAAGACGCCATAAACGCCTATCCTGTTAGGGGCTGGAGCCTATCCCAGCTGACATTGGGTAAGAGGCAGGGTACACCCTGGACAGGTCACCAGACTATCACAGGGCTGACACATAGAGACAGACAACCATTCACACTCACATTCACACCTATGGACAATTTAGAGTCACCAATTAACCTGCATGTCTTTGGACTGTGGGAGGAAGCTGGAGTAACCCGAGAAAACCCACGCTGACACAGAGAGAACATGCAAACTCCGCACAAAGGGACTCCCCCAGCCCGAGTTCAAATCAGCAACCGTCTTGCTGTGAGGTGACAATGCAAACAACTGCACCGACATGCTAAGAAGGTGATTTGTCAAAAATCACTCTCAAATTTAGTCAAAAAATTACTTTGAAAAAGCCTCAGGAGCATTACGTTGAAGTGTCTAATACCTGTAGACACCCTGTATACAATACACACATCTTTCCTTTTCACCGTAAACAGTGACAAAGCTCTGTCATGCAGTAAATATGTGACCCTGACACAGAATGGATAAGCTGTGGAGATGTAACGAGTCCTCCATGACCTCGATCACCAGCGTGACTCAGTTTGATGCCGCACTATAAATAACCTGCCGCCAGTGTCTCACCTGAGCTCAGCCAGCTGTTAGATTAGAACATCTCTCCTGTCACACACACACACACACACACACACACACACACACAATTTCTAATATGGCCCACAGAAAAACACTGAAAACAGCTTGACCCATTTGTTCATGGGACTCTGGGGTCCTCTGTTAGGACAGATACATGCTGCAGGCACTATGTGGAGCAGGCATCGTCTCCACAATAATTGGGTTATGAGAGAGTGCGCACATGCATGTAAATTTGCAATGTGTGTATGAGCAGTGTGTGTTCTTTAATGGGGTGACACTGCGAGGCAGACACGGGGGCCAAAGGAGCTATGACGTGAGAACCCGTCAGTAGAAATAGGGCAGTGGGGCAGGAAGCTCGCGGGCCTGCTGGGGCTGCTCCCGTGAAGCTGGGATGACCTGATACTTTACATATTCAAACCTGGTTCGTTGGTGTGGCTTTGTTTGAAAGTTAAACTGCGTCAGATGACGAAAACAGCAGGGGAGACACAACTCAAAAAACACTGTGTAAGCTGATGGAAGTGGGGCTCATATTTACGTTGGGGTTAGGTCAGCGAGGATCAGGGTGCGGTTGCCGAGGGAAACCAAGTGAATAATTGAGTCTGATGCTGAGAAGGCAGTGGCTAGACATATGGCCCGGGGGGTCTGAAAGGAGCTGGCGGGGAGGAGAGAGGGGGGTTGGTGCGAGCAGCTGAGACGGCGACTGAATTATCCATCTGAGTGAGCTGCCTCTACCTGCAGCTGGAGAACTGGTTTGGAGGAGTGTGAGAGGAGAGAGATGGAGCGAAGAGAAGGAAATGGAAGGAATGATTGGAAGAGAGAGACCAAGGAGAAGATGAGACAGAGAGAGTAATGTGTGAAGAAAGTCTGAGGACTGAGAAAGACAAAAATAGTCTTCTTGTAAATGAGTGAAAAACACAATATAGAAAGAGAGAGCAGCAGCAAATGAAAGATGAAGCGTCTGATATACAGAGAGACAAAACAGATTATTAGGATGTCTCTAAATGAAATGAAAGATGGAGCGAAAGAGAGTCTTTCTGCATCGAAACCCCCGTCCCACCCCCCTCATTTACTCAGCCAATCACATCTCTCTTTGAGATGCCAACTCAGCTTTTTCTGCCTCAGTGGCCAACTGCTGGGCCTTTCCTCTGGTGGAGCTTAGCTCAAACACAGAAGCTGAGAAAGCAATGTGGATGCGCCTAAATCCTTCCTAACAGTTGATGATCTGGCCAGGAACAATAGAGGATTGTGGCAGCGCACAGCCAGCTGGCAAATCTTTGAGCTTAAGCAGCTAAACCACAAACACACACACACACACACACACACACACACACACACACACACACACACATCTGTTGAATTTTAGCCAGAGCCAGTTTTCTCTGATGGCTCGGTCCTGCTCCTCTGCCCTCCTGCATGAAAGTGGCTTATGGCAAGTGACCCAATTAATGGCTCTCAGTGTTGGCAACTGCTGTGTGTGTCTGTGTGTGTAGGTAAACAGGTTGTTTATTGTGTCCTTAAACTACACGGAGACTTTGTAACAATGACTCCACAATGTTATTTTAAAAGCCATGTAAAATATGTATGAATGTGAAGGAAAACATTAAACTTTCATTCCTATTTTTCCACACCAGACATAAGGAAAAGATACTGTGTGAAGTCAGATGGACAGATACATATGTTCTAAAAACAACAGGAAGTTTGGCCCACTTATAAACACAGTCAGCAGTTGCAGCAGTGGCTGTAGTGCAGGTCATGGAGGGAATTACAGTGTGTGAATACCACAGTTGTCATCAAAAATCACACTCTTACTCATGGTCAAAACTCAGTCCAGTCCACAGACTGTATGTAATGATGGATGTAGCCATCATGACGTTACTCATGTGTTTGTTTTGAAACCTTTTGGCATTTTGGTTGTCCTCATCTTGCTTTTTGGAGCCAGCCGTTACTCTATTTGGATGAGATGGTGGCGATAACCCAACGCTAGCTGCTAGCTCAGTTAGTATGGTGCATGTACAGCTATGGTTAACTGTGGTGAAGCTAATCCAAATGCAAAAAATTTCTTAAATTGCACACCAATGCGTGTTACACCCTGAAGAAGACTCGTTTGTCGAAACGCATTGGGAAAAGCATAAAGGATTTGTAACTAGTGCCTCAGATGTGTTTTCGACTGCCTGCCTGCACTATGGACTTTTTCACTGAGTGAGCTGGCCAGTCGTTGTTTTTTATCTTTCAGTGACTCTTTGCCCCATCCTTGAAGAGCACCTGATGTTTTTGTTTTTTTTTAATACAACCAACCACACAGAGCCTTAACCCAGTGCAACACTCCCTATTTTTTCCTGCTAATTTTTGCTATCAGCCTAAAACAGGCTTAAAGCCATTTAAAAAAATGTACTTGCTGTGAAAACTACATATATCAGACTCCTTTGAGTGTCTTTTAGGACAACCAAACACTGACTAAAGACTTTCTAGAGGACTAAAATGTTAAAATAAACTTTCATGAACTGAAAACACGCTGAAATAGCGACAGCTAGGGGCGCCTAGTAGCTCACTTGGTAGAGCAAGGGCCCCATGTGCAATGGTAGCGCCCTTGCCGCAGTAGCCGTGGGTTTGATTCGAGCCCATGGCCCTTTGCTCCTAAGAAAAAAAAAAAGAAATAGCGACAGCTATGACTGCACTCTGTGAATCTGGGCTCACGCCCTGTTTACGTTACCAAACCAACGTTGTTGCTGTGGTAGTGACTTGTCAACGGACGATGCCCACCTGTCACCGCCACCCCTTAATTGTGCACACTTTCAACCCCTAATAACATTTTAACAAGTTGTGTAAAAATCGACCCCCTGTATAGTTGTCATGAACATCAAAATTAGTTATAGAGACCAAAACCATTTTTGTACCAGGCTGTAAACATGTTTATTTCTGCTGTAAAGTTGGGCCTTTTAACATGGGTGTCTATGGGGATTGACTCGCTCTTGGAGCCAGCCTTTAGTGGCCATTCAAAGGCTTCATTTTACAGCCCCAGAGGTTGCTGCCTGGTCCAATTAAACACAGAAATTATACATGTATAATGTATGCAGTGTGACTTAAACTGTCAGGGGATATTACTATCTCTAATGTTTATTGGGAATAAACCTCTATAAATCTGCTTAGATGTCATAGAAAATGAATGAATGCAGAAGTTGCTTAAGAATCATCATGTTTTTAAGTTTTTTTTCAGTATCACAGTAATCCACTGATAGCTGTCTGTGCACATGTGGTTAAGTTGTAAATAGGAGCTGCTAATAGCTAATTTGCCGTAATTTGATTATGCCAATTTGCCAAAATGTAAAAATAAAATAAAATAAAATGAAATACAAGTTATAGCCAACAGCATGACTGAATCCATGGCAATATTACACCTCCTGCTTACATCCCCGAAAGCATTAATGGGTGCAGTAGTTGTCTTGACTTTGTCTGAAGGGAAAGTCCCACAGTGTCAGACTCTGAAAACCCTGAGACAATACTAACTCTTCCCATTTCCACCTTCCCACAGTGAGGTTCAGGAAGGAGCTGGCGCCGAGGCTGCAGATGCAGATGTAGCTGCAGCAGCAGCACCCTCCAGCTCTTCATCGGCACCTGAAGCAGCCTCCTCCTCCTTGTCTGCCCCAGCTGCTCCCTCTTCTCCCGGGGCAGCTGATGAGGCCCCGTCCAGTCCCAAGGTGATGGTGGTGGAGGCAGACAGGGTCAGCCAGGTGTCCGGCTCAGGGTGCACCAGCCAGGCTTCAGTCGATGATGAAGATGACGTGCCAATCACAGATATCTACTTTGTAAGTAAAACCCTACACACACACACACACACACACACACACATACACACACACACACACACACATGTACATACACATTATAATTTTAGATTATTTTAAATCCCTGTTACGACCAAAGTAAGCACATCTCAGACGAGGACTGGCTCCAATCATTGCTCATCTGTTTGAGTTTGACATTTTTTATTTAGCCATTAAATCATATTTAATATTTAATCAGCACCAGTGTCCATTGGCTGACATGAGACACATTTCAACTATGTATTCATAACATAAAGGACTGAGCTGTATGATCTCCCACAGAGGCGTTGACAGAAGGACCACAGAAAGGGCGTAGCGTCTGGTATGGAAATAACTGTGCAGTTATTGCTTGCAGTGTGTGGTACAGTCAGTCAAAACAGCTACAAGGACTTTTTAAATGGTTATGGAACAGTCTCAATTTATTACTGATGCCTCTGTATGACCTACATAAGCAAACGAGATGATCAGCGATTATTTCTGTATAGTTAATGACTGTCCCTGGGGGAATGATGAGCAGACCAAAGAGCCTGTGTTTACATTTTCCCAGGGAGTGTTTCACAGTGAGTACGTAGGTGAAAGAGCTGCGTCTACAGAAAGTTTCCGGAAAGGTTAATTATATGTTATAGTCTTTTTTATATACCGCTAAAGCAAAAAGAGATTTTACGTGTTTTATTCTGTTCAAATTTTTTTCAAATTGCAAATAGTGTGTTTGTCTGGGGCTTTAATTGTAAACTGCGGAGCCTCCATATTATGATTTTGTTACCTTCCTAAGTATAGACACAACTTATAACCCTCAGCTATATAATCAAAGACAGTTTTGATAAGCTCCGACATTACCGGTACTTTTATCCACAGGCCTACTTTTTAAGCTTTTGCTGTAATTTATTTTCTACGCTGTAGCTTCTCTACTAGTCGCTGCACCTCCTCCAACTAAAATTACGCTCATAACTAATAAAATCTTCGTGAGTAAAAACCCAATAGGCTACTTTCTCAATACACCTGTTCCATAAACATGTTAACAAGTGGAACAACGATATTCAAGATCAGCGTCTTTATTACACGAGGAGGTGGTGCTCATGGTAAAATTGACTCATTCCAGGATACGCTAACACTTATTGTCTGGATTTTTTATCAGTCTTATGTGTGTGCAAATGAAATAAATTCAGAGACTTTAAAAACACTACTGCTTTTGTCAGCAGGGGCCGCCAAAACCCACACAAAATAAAAATTCCTTGTAGCTGCTTTAAAGGAATAGTTCCATATTTTGGGGAAAATTGCCTTTTTGCTGTCTTGCATGAGAAAATTGACACCACTTTTATGTCTGAACAGTAAAGTGTAAGCCAGCAGCCGGTTAGCTTAGCATAGTTTTTCTTTGCTTTGTTTTAAGATTATTTTTTTTGTTGCCTTTATAATAGAACAGCAGGAGAGTGACAGGAATCAGGGGAGACACGCAGCAAAAGGCCGCAAGCTGGAATTGAACCTGAGCTGCTGCTAAGGCGTCAGCTTATATGGAGTGCACGCTCTACCCGGTGAGCTAGAGGGTGCCCCAGCTAGTTAGCTTAGAGTTAAAATGTAAAAGCAGGGGGAACTATGTGCCGGATGTGTCTTGGCTCGGTTTTTCCTGGTTGCCTGGCAACCTCATGTAGGACAAGTCTCTAGGAAGTCACTGTGTCTGGCCAGGAAATAGTCTGGCACATAACCCCCCTGTTGTTTTTACACCTGTTTGTTTGTGCAGATGAAACAAACAAATCAACCATATTAATTAGTGAGCTTTAGAGGTGCTAGGTAGATTTTATTATTGACCCATGTTAGCTATTTATCCCTGTTTCCAGTCTTTATGCTAAGCTACGCTAACCACCTGCTGGCTCTATCTTCATATTTAGCGTACAGACATGAGAGTTGTATCGATCTTCTCATCTGACTCAAAGCAAGAAATTAAATAAGCATATTTCCCAAAATGTGGAGCTGTTTTGTTAAACACAGTGTGTTGCAGTGGAGTGTTTGCAGAGTGACAATAGCATGTCAACATCACTTCAGAGTTCCTGTCTAATGTGAGGCTGCAGGCACGCTCAGCAGCTCATTTTGTGTGAATAACAACTGAAGCTTTTGCAGGATTGTCCCATTAAAAGCAACCAGCTATCATCAGATAGCATTGTGTTGGCAGGTCTACATGCGTCCAAATGCACAGCTATAAATGAATGTATAAGTGTCAGGTAGAGGCTGGTGAGTGGAGCCAGTGATCGCAGTCACAGATAGAAACGTTCCCACCTGGCCGCGCTCCTACTGGGTGTCTCTTATCAGGAATCAGACACCCTCTAATGTGGCACCAAGAAATCCTAATGGCCAACAGGTTAGTCAAAGAGCTCCCTCAGTTATTTAACAGCCCTCTCATCTGACCGTCTCTGGCTGATGCCCAGTTCATGTTTCAGAAGCTGGACACTCTGTGTACACAGCAGCAGGGGGTCTGTAGCGCTGCGTGAGGTGAAGTGACACTGAAGTTTAACTAAAGAGAAACACGCCACGGACAGTGAGGTCCAACGTGGCCTCTAGGGAGTGACCGAGTGAAAGTAAGTTGTTTCATCAGCTGTTAACTCGCTGCCGGAGATCCAAGCTGTAGTACGACAGCTCCGCACAGTATCTTGTATATGGTTTATGGACAGGTACATTTAAACTTTCAGGCTCTCTGCGGCTTCACTCGGTTTGGTCATTCAGCAGCTCCGTCAGCCAGCTCACTGTCTGATCATCCTTTTGTGCTCTCTGTCTGTTTCTGCCATCTCCATCATCATCATCATCATTACTCCCAACATCACACAAACATCACGTTTCTGCGTGGCCGCTCACCCTGCTTATTTTCCACTGCTGAAAGCCTCCCATGCTGGTCCACAACATTCACACAGAAAAGGCAAAAACCACTGGACGATAACAGGGTTAACGCCATTTTAATTGCTTCTCACATCCTTCAGGAGTTTCAGTAAACAGAAGCACACTCTGAACCCGTAAAAAGTCTTTATTGTTGTGTAATGTGGAGCAGTGTCTGCCGGTAGTATTTTCTCAGGCAAAAATCCATTGTGTACAATAATTGCTGCTTGTGCACTGAAGTCTTTTATGATTGTAAGAGAGAGGAAAAACATTACTGCAAAAGAAACTGACTGAAGACTGAGTACAATTACATTCAAAGGAATATTTCCCCGCCTTAATGACCATTTGTTTCAGTTAATCACCCCATGTTACATTCAATTTGCAAAGAACACTGTTTTATTTGCCTCCATGGTGAACGGAGAGTCCAAAAACTGAGAAAGTTCTTGATGAATTGAGGCCATGGTGGTCTGCTTTCACTACGGAAAAACGTTATCAAAACATCCACTTACAACTTGTGCAGTATAATCCAAGTCTCATTTATCTGGTTGTATGCTCAGTACATCCCAGGCAGCCCTTTTCCACTGAACTAAAAATGAAACTTATCTATGCTCTCTTCAAAGCCAGACTCCATTAACAAAAAAGGTAATTTTACCTCGCTGAACATGGGAGTTGCTGATCTACCACTGCCTCAGTTAGTAAGTGTTGTGTTATTGTGTGACTTTGGTGAATCTGAACAAACCCTTTAAAACACCGAAGTCACAAAATAAACACAAATAAACTAACAGCATTGTATTTCATGTCTCCACCTGCTGGTGGGCCGTTACGATAAGAGTATGCAAGCATGATATGATGTTAATTCCACAACAGAAGGGACTTGATGATCACTGGAATTAGGTTTGGAAAAAAGTGGCTATATCAGTGTGGGTACTGGTTATCATTCAAATGAGTTGTTACATATCGGCACATCAGACATCAGCAAAAACTCCAATATCATGCATCCCTACAGTTTGTCATTTGGGCTGTGAAGTGCTCCTTTAATATGTTTTTAACTGGACTTTCTGTGCTGTTGAGCACATCTCTCTTGTTTTATTATTGTGTTTTGGATTGCAGAAGTTTACACTGCTGAATTACCTGCACACTACAGCTTGCTAACTCGAGTTTTTGCGAGAGAAAAACAAAATAATTCAAATTTCAGTCCTTGTTGTAACACCGAGCAACTCGCATTTCTCTTACTAGGTAACAAAATTGTTTTTCTTCTGTTTGCCTTTGCTTAGTGCACAAACTGTGAGAAAATTCGGGTTGTGTTCCAGATATTTCAAAGCTTCAAATGACACAGTATGTGTAAAAGGAAAGGTCGGGGATTATGTTTCAATTTTCATACAAGTGATGGCAGCATTTGTGATCATGTAGCTTCTCTGGGGAAAAAACACATCACATAGCTGTGAGACTGAAGTGATTGCTCGTGACACAGAGGGACACAGGTGTGTGAGAGTGTGTGTGTGTGTGTGTGTGTGTGTGTGTGTGTGTGTGTGTGTGTGTGTGTGTCATCACTTCACAGCTTCCTCAGAGTGGCTCGTGACTAAATTATTCAGCCACTATCAGCAGCCTACACATTCACTTTTCATGATTCCCACTCTGCTCTCCTTCACCTCTGTCCTCCACATCTGATTGTTTTTCTTCCTCTGTCCGCTCTCCCTCATCTTCTCCTCCTCATCCTCACCTCCATCCTGTTCGCACATTTCACCCCTGCTCTAAGATCATTTTCACCTTCCCCCCGTGTCCATCTGAAATCTTTCTCCTCCGGTTCTTTCTCTGCGTCTTTTTCCTCCGTCCTCATGACTCATAATGAAAGTGGTGAGATACTAGCGTGTGGTGTGGAAGTGGGGAGTGAAAACAGAGTGGCTGCCAGACTTGTTAATCTAACTGTCACCACTGACTCATCCAGTGTATCTCTGCTGGGTTACACGCAGTCAGAGCAGTCTTTTCCATTTTCACCTCAGCGTGCTTGTGTTTTTTTTCCATCATTACCTCACCTCACTCTGTTCCCCTCTCTGTACCTCACTTTTCTTTTTGTTTGTCCCTGTGCCATACGCCCCTGTTGTTGTCAGTTTCCTGACGGGAGGACCTGGGTGGTCTCCCCTTTCCGACAGAGGCGGACATGCCAGTCCAGTTGGCCAGTAAGTGAGTTAGATGGTGGTAGACTTGTGCTGTCCTGGCTGGTGTTAGACTAGATTAGTGCTGTTGGTTTGATGAAACATATGATGACAGTGTTTCTACAGCTTGTCATGATGTGTGCTATAAACTGCAGGTGTTTTGTGATTGTGTTGACACTAAAAAAACAATACCTACCCCCCGCATGGCGACGACAATGAAGCGTGGGAGGCGGGTAAACAAAAGACATCTTGACAGTCTGTCTTTGTGTCGCTCTTCTGTTCATTTTCTTTTGATTCTCCATTTGTTCCCTTGCTCACTGACAGCCCCCCTCATGCACCTGTGCGGATAGCGTGTTAGCTCCGACATGCCGAGCTTCGTGTGTGTGAATCTGTGTGTGTGTGTGTGTGTATCATCAACCCACACCGCCTCCACCTCCGTCACCAACATACCGTGCTGCAGCTGCTTCCCTCTCTTAAAGGGCTGGTACCTACAGCAGTCACAAGGAACCCACTGATGCTTTTTATGCAAAGAGCGCTTTGCTTGTTGGAAAGGAGAAAATAAAACATCCTGTTGTTGTGTTTTGCTTTGACTGAGGATGCTCGCTGTGTCTGACTGTCCCAGCATCCTGGCTTTCTTCCCATTCCCACCTCCTCCTCCCTGCTCCCTGCTCCCTGCTCTTCATCCTCCCCGTTTGGCTGATGCAGCGACTCATCCCTCACCCTGCACACTTCACTTTGCTTCCCAGGAGTTAGTCCAAAATGGGGCAAAACGCTAAGATATGATTTTAAACACCTGTCAGTAAGACCCATCATAATATTTACATCCCTAACAGCACCTCTCTGTAACGCTACAACCTGTTATTTGCCAAATTTTTCATCTCTGTGTTCGAGGATAAACACATCCACACTTAACTTGATATGTCAGATTCACACTTTCCAATGTCTCTCTCAGCAACATTTCCTCCTATATGCATCCCTAATTTTCATTTCCTGTCTTGTCTTTTCTTCTCCTGTGATCTCCCGTGTCTTTTCTCCTGCCTGCCCCTGCTGCTTGTCTCTGTACCTCTGGCCTTTCCTCTGTCCCTCTGGCCCCCTCTGCTGTGGTGGGTGTGTAAAAACAGCCTCAAGAGGACAGGACCTGGGTGTACTCTCCGCTACACTATGGCTCAGAGTCTAAGGCCCTGCCAGATGGGGATTGGGAAAGAGAGACAGTAAGTGAGAAGCATCGGACTAAACTATGAAGCACAGGGAAACCCCGTAGAGGAGGAGTAAAATCAGAAAAATCAAATTCATTCGGGGGGAACGAGGATGGAAAGGATCAGTTGTAACTTTACCTGCGGGAGAAGCTTCTGTAGTAAACGTAGAAACAAGCTTCTCAGGTTCAAAAGCCCACGATGACTCCCAAGAGTAGGTCTGCTCTGCATCCAGAAACTCACCCCTACATTACAACATTCATTCCTCATTGATAAGTGGGTGGAAATGGTCACTTGCAGCTTGCAGGACCATTTAGTCCACGACCAGCCATCATGTGTCCCTCCAACAACAAGCTGCTCAGCATTTACCACACTGGTCACTGCATCGGCCTGCATGAAGCCGTTAACACTCATGCATCAATAAAGTCCCACGGAGATGTTCACACTAAAGATGTGTACATTAAACATGCACAGGGGTCACATTTTGCAGAACAACAACATCATTTTGTTCAATTTTATCAATAATATACTCAGTTTAAGCGTTTTTGGTTATTTGAGTTTATTTATAGAGCTTAAGTGTAATTTCAGTGTTAAGATTTATCTCCCCAGATATCTGCCTGTCAGGTAAATTTGACAAACTAAACATGGAGTCAAATCAGAGATGACGTCACTTGGCTCGGACTGTTGTGAGGTTGTGTTTCACAGGCTGCTTGTTTACTTTGTTCAGCGCAGCAGCCTTTGCCCATATTGTGCTCCGATAAGGTGTCATCACCCATTGAACTTTTTTCCCTGCTCATTTTATTTTTCATCTTCTCAGACACATCTTTACACCGGGGATGTCCCGAGCAAGTTTCGTTCTGACATCCCCATCAAGTCATTTAATAATCAGTTTGGGTGGACATGTGCAACAAAAGATGTAAAGAAAAATATTGTTCTAAACATAGAAATGTACTTAAGGGGAACTCCGGTATTGTTTTAACCTGGACTCTATTTTCCCAATGGTTTTGTGTCTTAAGTGAGTGGTGAGGTATTAGATGGGAGTGCTGTGGTGACAGCAGTGAAACTGGCTGCAGTGTGACCACTCGGAGCATGTGCACACTGTCATTTAAAGTCCATTTAAAGTGCTTGTTTTTGCCACTGACAGGTTCAGATTGTTCCTGTGAGTTATTAAACTTTAAGGGAAGAACCACACAGAAATTACACATTAAAAAAGGTCATATTGGGATTATTTTTGACAGATATTGCGACGTGTCTCAGTTTAATAGGTATGGGAATTTTGTATTTCATTTTCACTGAAAAAAACAAAACAAAATGCTGATGATGTGATTTGTGCTGGGGTCTGTAACAAACAAGCATGTTCCCTGATGTCTGGAATATGATTTGCAGGCCGGGGCATCTCTGCAGCACCTCAGTGCTTCATTTTACAGTTATCAACAATATCAGAAATTATTGTGCAGCCCTAATTTTTTTTGTACCTTTTGCTTGTTCGGTCCTGTTTTGCATCCAAGTCTCGTTCTCAAATCTCGCAGACTCAAACTTTTTTTGGTAACACTAAGCTACAACACCACAAACATTAGCCGGCACTCTACTTTTCACCACTTTTCACTTCCTGCAACAAGTAATCCCTTGTGTGATTTAGAAAGAGACTTCTCAACACGGGAAGGAAAACATTTCATTTCTCTGTAGGGTCTTTTACGTAATGTTGCATGACACTTGATAATAATCTGAGCCTGTCAGTGACGAAAACAAGTACTTTTAGTACTTCTGTTTGGAGTTTGCATGTTCTCCTGTGTCAGCGTGGGTTTCCTCCAGGTACTCCAGCTTCCTCCCACAGTCCAAAGACATGCAGGTTAACTGGTGACTCTAAATTGTCCGTGAGTGTGAATGGTTGTCTGTCTCTATGTGTCAGCCCTGTGATAGTCTGGTGACCTGACCAGGGTGTACCCTGCTTCTCACCCAACGTCAGCTGGGATAGGCTCCAGCCCCCCCGCGACCCCCAACAGGATAAGGGGTTATGGAAAATGAATGAATGAAGCTGACTGTGTTCAATTGCTCGCAAGGGTTACACTGCAGTCTGTCTCGCCAGCATTCTCTCTTGATACTGGCCTAATTTTAAAAAGTGTTGTCTCCATTTGTCACTTAGACACAAAAACGTGGGAAAAAAAGAGTCCAGGTTAAAAATACCTGAGAACCACTTAAACTTAATCACTGTTCCATATAAATGCGATGCCTTATCTTATACTATGCTTAAAGTAAGTTTAAAATAATTCCACATTACAGACACTTTCTACATTTTTTAACTTTTAAGTTTTTCAACTTTCTTTACAGCATTAGGTGATCCAAAATAATCCACTTAATGACTCCAATCAGACTTGTTTAGACCGCACATAAACTTACACTTAGTTATTGGTTGATGTGTGACACAACTTCACTTCTCCTGGTTGTTCAGTTACTCAGGTGTGTGTGCTGTGTTTATTTCTTCTCACCTTACAAATTCTATTTTCCAAGTTTCCCCTTCAGTTTATGCACTCTGATCAGATCGCTCACTGTTTCACTATCACTAGTAAATATTGCATGACACATTTTACACCCTGGGGAAGTTAAAACGTTGATGCTGTGCATGCTCTGCCTAACACACTGACTGTGTCTGTCTCCAACAGTAAGCCCTGTTCTCTGGCAGAGAGGAGCGAACGTCTCGGTGGAGAGGACTCGTCGGTCTGAAGTCCAGACCTCAGCGGTAGCAGCAGGATCTCTGTCTGAACCAGGATTTTAAAACATGCATACAGAAACTGAACACACTGAGGGGGAAAAAGTGACTTGTGTACCAGAGAGGGGGAAAAAAATCCTGACAGTGATGAACGTCACTGGTTTCCAACCATCCCTGCCTTTCACCCTTGACAAAATGAAAATTATATCAAGTTAATAATAATGTGTATGTGTGACATACAGTAGTGCGTATACGGCTGTAGTCTTATATGTTTGAGATCATACGGTAGTAACTCTCTGTGCCTGTAAAGAAGTATTCACTCGACTTGGAAGTATTTGTGACCACATTAAAATGGAAACAGACTTTTTTTAAATCTTTTCCTTCTTTGGTATTTCCAAGTATCTTGTTACCACTGCTGTCACAAAGACAACTGGATCGCTGTCCGTTTTCCTCAGAGCAGCTACCACAGATATTTCTGATGTCCCACTGTCCACTATTTCTGTTTCTGGGGATAGTAACTGCAGAGAACGTACACTGATCCTCTCTGGTACCTGAGGATAGCTGCCGAGAGCCACCGGGGTAAACAAGAGCGTTAATCTCTTCCTGTTTTGGTTGCGCAATTGTCAACGCACTTCCTTTGTGCAAATCAAGCCATCATTTCCCCAGGAGGTCGTACCCGGTGGCAGACAGAATAGCATAGTTAAATCAAAGCTTACAGGGAACTGATCTAAACACAGATGGTGTCATTATTCTCTACATTACAGTGTGCAATCAGCATTTACTTCATAATTATAGATTAAAGCAAACTTGTCTGTTTCCACTTTAAATCCTCTTAAAAACATGTTACCTTCCAAGTGGGGTTGATACTTTTTTAAAGGCATCATCCAGTCTGTTCTAGTTCACACAGGTACGGCCCTCTGACAGGCTCAGCACACTGAAATATGCGTGTACTGTACTTATCAGGATAAGACCACCCACTGTCCTTGGTACTGACTACCCTCACCTGACATCACGCTTTGTTTTAACAACTGAAAAAAAAAATATGGTGCATTTGGGTCAAGATAGGCAACACCTCTCATGACGTGACGCTACTCCTTCTGCTCGGGTCTCCTTGCTGCCGGTGACGTCCTCCTGAGAGCAGGACTTTCGGCCACATATTGATTTCAGTGTGATGAGGGAGGAGTGAGCGATGGAGTCTGTGGTGTTAGAGGTTTACTGTATAAAAGAAGTGGACATAGCCAATGTGGCGTCACCTATTCGTTCGTGGGCCTGTTTTGAAGCCTTGAGTTCGGCATTTTGGCCGTCAGTGTCTTGGTTATTCGAAGCCAGGGGTGACCATATTTGGACCAAGCCTAAGAACAGCACCAGGATTTGACCTAGTGGCCAAACATGGAATTACGACTTCTGGATCTGTCACACGACGCCTTCGGGCCCAGAAAGACTTTTATCTGTAGAGATTCTCAAAGAGACGTCTGTAACTCAGTGTAAAATTTTTTTGGAGCGTAACCACCCCCTGACTCATTTCGCTATCAGGATTAGTCTAGAAAAGCCGCACATTTAAATGACTTCATCCCCAATCAAGTTAGCGGAGGGTTAAACTGGCAGTTAGCGGCTCGGCTGGGGGAAGTTAGCTGCTCAGACAGGCGCAGCCACTTTGAATCTCTTGTGCATTAAGAGCCCCACAATGCAAAAGATCCATTGAAATTATTACAATGGAAATGAATCTTTTTTGGCCACTTTCCTACAAATGGATGGGGACCAGCCTCCAACACTGTATCCAGCTCTCTTAATACATCCATGATTTGGATGAGAGGTTGGAGCTGTGGAGGATATGCGATGCTAAACATCTATCATTATTGACAGGTCACCGTGGTAGCGACTTGCCAATCAATTTTAATCTAAATGGGACCAAATTTTACGAAATGAAAATATAATTTAAATCATGTTGTATTTAAGGAGGCTTGAAACTTGTGATTGAGGCCGTAATCTCATTTGGAAAATGCTTACTATGGTAATAAATCACGTGAGAAGAGAAGAGGGTAATTTTCTCATAGACTTCTATACCACTGGTTCCCAACTTGAGGGTCCCAACACCCACTAGAGGTCGCCAAAGCCTCAGAGAGGACCACGAAGCCATCTTGATTTTAACGTGTGTAAGAAAACTTTAATTAAAAAAAATATATATATATATATATATATACACACACAGTAAGCCTACATCTCAGGATTTCATTTATTTCTGTGAAGAAAACTAAGAAGAACTATGAAGAAATAGTTATTTTTAAGTTTAGATAATTATTTCGGACGTAAACTTTTAAAAAGTCTCACAGAATAAGAGAACAGAGAATTACTGAACACGAGCTATATATTTACGGAGCCTTAACTCTGCATTTAAACAAGTCATCCTGAATCAGAAAAGAACGCAGTTAAAAAAAAACAAAGAGAACAATGGCCAAGCAACAGGGAGGAGAAAATACTGAATTTCTTAAAAAGAAAGACGCCTATTATGTTTGTGTGATGGTTAACATTCAAAAAAAGATACATAATACAGAGCGCTGGATAAAAGGTTGCTAAAAAAATGTTTGTTACACAAGTTGAGTTCATTATTTTGGTTAATTGTACAGCTTATCAGTCCCTCTGTCCTGTTGTTGTTATGCATTTAACAATGTAAAATATTTGTAAAATATGCTGCCTAGTTTGGGGTCGTAGCTTGAGTCAATGCTAGAGCAGGCTCTCTTACAGAAAAAGGCTGGGAACCACCGTTTTATACAATCTGACCTCTTTTTGTAACCAGTGTAGTCGCCCTCTGCTGGCCTTTAGCAAGAATGCAGCTCAAAGGCACTTCGACATTGGCTCAACATTGGCTCGTGTCTGGCACTTTCAGACACGGAGGCTACGCTCACTTCTTTTATACCATACAGTGTGTGGTTGGAGGGCTCTCCTTGTGATCTTAGAACAGGAGTTACAGTGATAACCATTGTTCAGCCAAAACACATCTAAACTCTGTCGTCCTCACATTTCCAGCAGCCGTGAATACATGCAGTTTAGTTTTTAGAGGAAGCATCATTTCCTTTAGTAAATATATACAGTGATTTTATTCATAGCATAATAATTTATATAAATATAATTTATATCAAACTTTTTTTTGCATTTTTTTTTTTTAATTTCTGAACTCTTTTACTACTGTGAGCTTTTATTTATTTAGTCTATATTTTATTCTAATCTTCACTGTCTTCTGGTACTTTTTCACTCTGAAATGCTTAAATGTTTCTCTTTTCTTTGATTTTGCATCCAAAGAACTTTAATTTTTGTTTTGATAATTCCATCCTTGCAGATTTTCTTTTTAGTTTCCCGTCACGTTTGTCGTTTAAAGTCAGTGTTAGTACTTCTTTCACCGCACCTCTTGCGTGGAAACAGCTGAGGCTTGTGACTCAATTGCAACACTAAGGCAGCAAACATTGTCGTAACCTTCACATCATTGCAGCGTCTTCCAGTGTTGCCCTACGTTTAGACAGATGCACACAAATCATTTGCTACAATAAATGTTTTATTTTAGCTGGGGGAAAAAATAATCAGCATATCAGTGACAGTCGCTATATCTCCTCACCTCCTCACAATAATGAATCCATTGACTGGACATTTCAGATGTTTGTAGATGTAGAGCATCAGTTGTAGTATTTGCAGTCGATATCGTACCTGTTATCTGTATATTTGAATGAACACAGTACGTTGCAGTGTTGCCTCGGCGAGACACGGCGAGTTTGTAAATGGGGTTGAATGTTGTTTGCACTTCTCAAGAGGACCTGAAGATGAACTAGTGATAGAGGCCAAATAAAAACATGCATCATGTTATCTTCGTTTCGGCTCACACAGGCTGATATTTAGGCAGCGTTTCTTTTTAGGATTATCAAGTGTGTGTGTGTTGGTGAAGTCGATCACAGTCATCGTAGGGTTAGTGTTTACTGTAGTCTCTCTGTGGCTGACATCTTAGGACTCTCAAAGTAAGTTCGACAAACTGATTTTTCTTTTAACTTCACTTGGTTTCTATGTGTGTTTGTGTGTACGGGAGGACACATCAATGTTGGACATTGTAAGATAAAAAATCAGTTTGTTCCCATGACGTGCAGTGGCCAGTTGTAATCAGTTTGCTGTTGTTCATCGGATGGAGACCATAGCAGCAATATTTTGTACAGTCTAGCTTTTAAGTTCGTTTTTATTGCCTTATTGAGAAATTTTACATGTAGGCCTAGCGTTTATATTTTTTTTTTCACTCGTGCTGTTGTATTTATTTTTCTTTCTCATAGTTGTGCTCCTGAGAATGTGTACATAAAATTATAAATACATATATAAAGATATACAAATATATTTTCCATTTGAATCGGAGAATATTATTTTTATTTGGTTTTATTTTTGCTGCTGGGCAAGAAATGATTGCAATCTACATAATTTTACTGTACCATATTCTTCAGTGTGTTTATCGGGATGCAGCTGCTGTATATTTATGGTCTATAAACCACAGCTGTCTCTTTGTAAGATATCCAGACGTTGAGCGATTTGTGGGGTTTTACTGTACATGCAAATCAATAGGGATTCTTCCAACTGTTCAGCTGTGCCGTGTATGTGTTTTCAAATCGCTGTGTGCCCTTCATCCAATAGGGAGAGTCCTTTGCAGAGACATAGCATGATTTCCAAAATGAATATGCATATCAGAAATGTGTATTTATGTATATCTGTGTATATTCATCTATTTATACATGAGGATAAATAGATGGCTGTATGTGTGTGTGTTTGGACTCAATCAGAATGAATACAAAATAAAGCAGTTCTATGAATTGTTGTTCATGGAGATGATGTTGTGTTTTTATTGATCCCTCACTGAAATCAACAGACGTTTAACCATAAATGGAAATGAGCCAATTTGTAACAGTGACCTCCAATTTGGGATGCAGATTTTGATCCTTTAATTTCTCTAGAGAGACTGCATTCATGTGCTCCTAGGAGGGTCCCATTTCCCAAGATGGGAAGTTGTTTTTCTGACTTTGGTGTGTTCATGAGCGTTAAGTCATAATGTGGGAACAACATTAACGCCACAAAGAAGATGTGTTGCATGAGGTGCCTGGTTCCCTCATCTCAAAGTTGGTGGTATTTTGGTTATAGGTGTCTGAAATAAGGTCTGTGGTTAACACAAACTTAAAAGACTTTTGCGTGTTGTTCTACGACACAAAATGAGTCAGTAAATAACCCACTTGTGAACTTTGAAGCTTCTATGTGTCTTTAAAAAGGTGGTTGCTAACAAGTGGCTAAATGAGACTATAGAACGCCATCACGCCGGACACGCCAAGCACAGCTGGGTTTATCGAATTGACGCCGTTCTGCATCAGTGTACTGATCGTGTTTCTCAAAGTCAAGGTCAAGTCCTCCAAAGAAAGGATCCTACAGAGGCAGGGCAAGAGTCCTTCCTAGCATTTGGTGAACACACATTGGAACAAGCGAACGAGTGTCCTCAGGTGTGCGTCATTAACCCTCAGCGGACTGAGGAGGTTTCATGATACTGTGACAATTTTGGCACTCTCTAACGTTGTTGTATAATTGAAACAAATGTAAGCCGTATTCTCACAGTCGCGTGACTTTGAGGTGAATATATTTCTGGATTACACTTAAAAAAACAGTGAGGCTAAATGAAACTTTTGTGGCACTTCACATTCTATCATTGCTGTAAAAGATTAATTTAAAAACTTTTGTTTTGTCTAATTTACGCTATTTAATAATTATTTGGCAGTGGACACATTGGAAAGTGTAAATTATGAGGTTTCTGTCAGTATATTTTTATGCTTGTATGATAAAAACTCCTGGAGATATTAATCCAAACAAATGACATGTTTATCTAAATCCTGCAGAGCTCCACTGGCACAAATTTCATTGGAGAGGCCCCGCCTTCACTTCCAGCAAATTGTGCACAAGGAATTGTTGGTACTTTATACTTGTTGAGGATACACACATGGATCCTTGAAAATTCTCTGAATGAAGGACTCTGTCCTTGGTAGAATTTGAAGGATCTTTGACATTGGAACAGTCCTTAAGCAAGATTTGATGATGTAGTATCCTTGAAATTCAGCCATTTAAGGATCCTTCCTTGACTTTGAGAAACACCCTGTTATGGTGGGGACGTTGAGTGGGATTTATACTTGTGTGTTAGCTCTGTGCAGAGCCTATGCCGTTTTGAGCATTTATACTTGTGTGGTGGTGTGTCTGTGTCACTCTGCAGTTACACCTCCAAAACACTAGTAGGCAACGGAGGTTCCTGTGAAGTGCTGTAAAGTTTAGTTGATTCAAAACACACATTAAACACACATTAAACACACATTAAACATGGCTTAATAGAGACAATTTCAAACACAAGTACACAAATCAGTTTCACTATAACTCGCAGCATTCACAGACACACACATTTTCCCCACAAATACAACATGCTAACGTTATTAGCACAAGTCTATGGCATTTTACATTGTATAAATTAGCCTAGCGGCTAGTGGACTTTTCCTCTACTCCTCTGGGATAAATCACACACACTTAAAATGACTTAAATTGTGACTTATAATGCTGCTTTGTGGAGGTTTTATTGTCTTCACAAGTTATTGTTACTTACTTGTGAAATTAAAATTAAGTCATGAGACTGTAGTGTGGTTCGTTTATAGCCTAGCATTAGCTTCTTACTTCCAGCATTGCATTTAGGCTTCAATAATCATTAAAGTGGTGTTCATTTGTAAAGATTAGCTTGCTGAACAAAAGTTCAAATATCATTAACGTTTGTTTGCCACACGTCTTATTTCCAGCAATAGAGCATTTAAATAACAGGATAACAGTTTGAAGCTTTAGTACAAAGCATGATCAAATAAAGAAGTCACAAATAAGAGAATGTATGGTAGTTAATAAAAGCATATAATATCTTGGTAAAATCAGCATTGCACAATAAACAAATAAAAAATACAAGTAATTAAAAATCAAAGTGTGGTCACAGTCAGGCATGGTACTGTAATAATAGCCTAATTAAAAATACTAAGGAAAAGAGTTGGGTCTTAAGATGGGTTTTTAGACGTATCGGTGGAGACACCTGAGGATTGTGGGATGTTAAAGAACATTGAAATCTGCCTGTTAGATCTTCAACATTTTGGCCTGATGGTGGAGCTATATGAAAACTCAGAAAAAGAAATAATTGGAAATCATTTCAGGGAAATCTGGCCGCTAGCTGTTGAGCTATCTTGCTCTCTACCAAAGTGTTGGACAGATGGATTAACCAGCTGGCTGATGTCACCACCCAGGCCTGTTAGTGGGACAAATATCTGCAAAATGTGGCTGTGGGCAGGAGCTGGTGAGATCTGATCACTGGAGGCCGTTCTGGACCAAGAAATCAAGATGAACTCACTTTTGTCCAGCACAGCCAGAGACCTTTGAGTGTCCGTTCCTACCAGTGGAGGGTAAACTCGGCCTCAGATCTCCTCAGTTGCTCTTTGTGAGGTTTTGTTTCTTCCATTTTTTTTCCCATTAAAGGTTTTCTGTGGGGAGAGGCTTTATCTGCTGTGAGGGTCCAAGGAGAGACGGCAGTGGCATACGGCAGTTAAGATGAGCCCCAGTGCCAGAAAACAGAGAACAGGTACCATATATTTTATATCATCACGTGATCATATAGACTTAACGTTACGTGATCATATAGACTTAACTTTGGACAGTATCAACATACATATTACCAGTCATCACTGCAAATCTGTATATGACAAACATACCAAATAGAATAAGAAATATTTTCTAAATAGTTAATTTATAGTTTATGTAAAATTAACAAATAATTTAAAATAATAATAAATGATAATAACAGTCCAGGTAATGGTTCTTCTGCTGTGAGACAGAATAAGGTGACAGTAGAATACAGTGGAACGCAAATGAACAATAATATATTACTTAGTCAGTGGGATACTTGTATAGTGAGGGCCAGTTAATACAAAGTATAGCCTATGGTGTTGTTTACTGTCCCATACAGGCCTTGTAAATTGATTGTTTGGATGTAGATCATTGATTCCCAACTTGGGGGTCACCAAAGCTTCACACTGGGTCACAAGACCTTCTTGATTTCAAGTGGTGTAAGAAAACTAACATAAGCTAAATTCATAGAGCCTTCACTCTCTGCTTAATAGCATTTTCAAAAACCAAAGAGCTAACAGAACAATGGCTATGTGTCAGGGAGAAGGAAACACTGAATTTGACCTTTAAAAAAGCCTATTAAGCACACAATGATTGTTAAATATATATATATATAAATAAAAAAATGATACAGAGAGCTGTATAAAAAGTACCTAAAATATCAAGACACTCATCTCTGTTTGTGTTAGGCAAACTTCCTGCAGTTATTGAGGTCAATACTTAGGTTGATTATACAGTTTCTCACTTTTTTCCTGCATTGTAATTATTATGCATTTAATTCAAATTGAAATATCCCAAAAAAATCTGTCACTTAGTCAGGGGTCGTCAGTTTACTCTATGAAAGGAAGGGAGTCCCTTAAGGATAAAGGATTTTTTCTGAGATTGGCTCCCGGGTCTAATAATAAAAAAAATAATAAAAAAGAACGTACAGTGCTAAAATGAAGAGGCAACATGGTGTACTGATTCTGGTGTTCCCTCCTTCTCACGTACATTGTGCAACAGTCAGCATGCTCTGGAAATCTGCCGTGTTATTGCTCAAACTCCAGGAAGAAACAGGGCGTCAAAGTTTGGAGAACAAAGGGTGTAATCACTCACCGTTTTCTGTCCTGTGAGCGGTGATTGGTCAGCGTTTTCAAAGAACGCATATGATTGGTCAAATCATCTGTCAGTCAATGTGTTCTTATTTCCAATTGGTCAAAAATAACGTTCCTTCACTCACGTGCACATTCTCTTCCTTGAAGGCGGTGCCTGTTAGCTACCGGTGGAGACTGGAGGATTGTTGTTGTTGTGGGAAAGTACTTAAAAAGTACAAAAAGAGCCTCTAACATGGGAAACCGAGACGATGAGTACGACTATTTGTTTAAAGGTAATTTATTCTTTGAATATAAAATATTAGGGTGTGTTTGTTATCTTTGTTAAAGTTCGGTTTCAGCAGCACGAACTGAGGAAGTCACCTAAGCCAGCGCTAATGCTAAAGTTAGCTGTAGTTACTAGCAGCGAAGTGGCAATCGATGACATGATCGAAACCCGTATTCACTATTATAAGTTCACAAAGCAGTTTGTAACGCTGCAATAGTTCAGTCTTTGGTAGTTTAGATTTTAAACACGCGAACTAATAAGCTAGTTCAGTGATGGTAGTTGACGCTGGTGACTTAGCAGACTAACGGGCGGCAGTTAAGTGGCTAAATAACTAAGTTAGCATGCTAACATTGTAGCTGCTTTTATCAAGCTACTCGGCCCTGTGGTTAAAACATATCAGTTAACACGACTTTAAGTTCACTTAAAATTACAAGCTTTTCAATAACCACCCTCTGGTGTTCAGTATAGAAGCTTTAATTCAAAAGTGGTTCACTTTTCGGGTAATTTGAAGCTAAGCTACTTAGCTAACTTGTTGACAACGCAGACATAACTGCTGCCTGACATATTTCTCTGAGCTGCTCCTGATCACATTATCAGCTGTCCTCTGCTTAACGTAGTGAGCAGTCACACAGGTTTAAACAAGATTAAAGAAGCATACCGAGAGACTTGTATTACTTTTTACCTGCAATAAATTAGAGGATGCACTATTTGATATTATCATGATACAATATAATTGCTATTTTGAATATGTTGTTACATGCTGAATATTGCGATAAAATTTATTGCAATTTATTTCCTTTTTTCTACTGTAAATTTTTGTTCTCCTAGGAAAACTTTGTCAACATCTGTTTTATCTAATTAGTTTTCAGTCTTCAGCCATTTTTTTGCAGCAAAATGTATCTAGTGGACTAAAAAAGCAATAGATATTTTGCACTAGTAGGCTACTTAAAAGTTTAATTTGTTTTTGTAATATTAATAATTATGTGATTTTAAAAATCAGCACTGTGGTGCAGTGGTTAGCATTGTCGCCTTACAGCAATATGGTTTCTGGTTCGAACCCAGGGTGGGGGAGCCCCTCTGTGTGCAGTTTGCATGTTCTCCCTGTGTCAGTGTGGGCTTTCTCCAGGTACTCCAGCTTCCTCCCACAGTCCAAACACATGCAGGTTAATTGGTGACTCTAAATTGTCCGTGGGTGTGAATGTGTGCGTGTCTCTATGTGTCAGCCATGCAATAGTCTGATGACCTGTCCAGGTTGTACCCTGCCTCTCACCCAGTGTCAGCTGGCTGAACCATATACTTTCATATTACTTTATAGGTGCACTTATCTGTTGGCAAAATGTAGGTTGACCTAACTCACGCTAATAACCACAACCATACATTAAACGAAGAAGAAGATGGCCTTATTAATCGCCAAAAGAAAATTCAGTTTTTTCACTCTGAGATATTCATACAGGTCCAAAATATACACACATGCACAAACAGGACTTATATATGCATTAAATGGAGAGATGTGAGGGGGCTCCTCATGGACAGGTGCTGGTGACCCTCCAGTTCCCAACCAAAGTCCCAATGGGCTGAGCTACTGCTGCCCCAAAACCTACCTCTGCATGGGACAAGGCATCTATACATCTATACTATAGTTGCATGTAATTCTTGAATAAGGAAAAGATGATTTGTCCAAAAATCACTCTTAAGTTTGGTTAAAAGAATTCTCTTGAACATGTCTTCAAAAGGGTTAAAGTTAAGTGTCTGATACCTGTAGTCACCCTTAGCCCAATATCCTCTTAAAAGGGACTCAATGAATAGATAGATAGATAGATAGATAGATAGATAGATAGATAGATAGATTAGTCCCTTTGGGAAATAAAAATTGCATTAATCATTGAACAAAAGAGACAAGGACAGTCAACAAGGTCTGTAACTGAAAACACGGAGCGTAGTTAGTGCAAGTGCTTAAAACTGTCTGCTGTATGAAAAGGTGCTGGACTAAGCTTGTATGTAAAATAAAATAAACTATGTTTTTTTGTGCTTGTAATCTACAAATATTAGCTTTCATGACTGAAATCCATCACAAGGTGAGCTAAAGATTGTAACAGTGTAACATGGATAGGATGAACACATGCTAAATCCCAGCATGTTTGCACACCACTTAGTGTTTACAGTTTGTCACTAACATTAATGTTTGTGTGCTCTGTGTATTTTGGTTCTAGTCGTACTAATCGGAGACTCTGGAGTGGGAAAGAGTAACCTGCTGTCCCGTTTCACAAGAAATGAGTTCAACTTGGAGAGCAAGAGCACCATTGGGGTGGAGTTCGCCACCCGCAGCATCCAGGTGGACGGCAAGACGATAAAGGCTCAGATTTGGGACACAGCTGGACAGGAGCGCTACAGAGCAATCACCTCGGCGTCAGTTTGCTTTTTTATTTTTTTGGAGTGTTTACCAGACTTGTGATAGTCTGCAGTCTACATACAGCATATTATACTACTAATTTGCACAGCTAATATAGCAATACACATGGAGATTAGGATCATTTGCTTAAAAAACTGCTGTCTTTATTGTTTCTGCCCAGAATAATTTGCGTAATGTTATATACGTACACATTTTTTATCTTTGAAGCAGATGGTAGCGAACATTTCAGTAGTTCTTGATTCATCAATTTCTCTTTGCTGTCACCAGGTATTACAGGGGCGCAGTTGGAGCTCTTCTAGTTTACGACATTGCCAAGCACCTGACATATGAGAATGTCGAACGCTGGCTGAAGGAGCTGAGGGACCACGCTGACAACAACATCGTCATCATGCTGGTTGGGAACAAGAGCGACCTCCGCCACCTCAGGGCGGTGCCCACTGATGAGGCTCGAGCCTTCGCAGGTAAATTATTAAGCATTGCCATCAGGGAAGCAGCATTGCATTCAAGGGTCATGTAGATTAAGTAGAATTCTGTGTGTGTTTTTTTTTTATTTTTTTTTAACAAATCTTAAGTCCAGCACTCGCTGTATTTCCTCCTTTATCAGTCTGCACCTCGTTTATCGTCCACAGAACGAGGCTGCACGCTGACATTTTAAGAGCAAAACGGAACAGGCTGCAGTGAGAGTCTCTCTCCATGGCATATTTAAAAATAGCAGCTTTATACATTTAGTCCTTCTCAGGCAAGCTCAGGGGTTTAGTGTTGCCGGAGCCCACAGGAACGACGCTCCACGATGGGTCCTCTGTCCCCCCTCTGTTGGGTCCTCCCAACAGAGGGGGGACCAAAAATGGGGACGGTACGGAACGGTTCCATGGGTGCCATACATAACTTTTTACAGTGAAAACTGAAAAAAGCCTTCAGGATTGAACTGTACCGTACTGCTCGGTTAAAAGGTGTGGCAAATCACCTCTGACTGGTCGTGTCAGAAAAGAGATCAATGTCAAGTTGTGAGAGTTCTGTGAGACGAAGTCCGGGCTTTTTCTTAGGTGTGTTTACAAGTCATTTTATTTGTTAGAGATGTGTAGAAGAGGATTTTGAAAACGATGGCAGGCTCATAGCCACAGTCTACATCAGATGAGTCAGAGTGGTTTAACCATATTACATATACAGGTCATTATCCGAGCTGTCTGTTTTTAATAGATATTTAAATGGCTTTTATGTGTAAACGTAATTTGTCTCCTGTTTTTTCTTTCCAGAAGGGAACACTCTCTCCTTTATTGAGACCTCCGCCTTGGACTCCACTAATGTAGAAGAAGCCTTTAAGAACATCCTCACAGGTAGGAAAAGTGATCAGCTGTTAAATACAACATGCAGCCGTGAATCTCCAGCTGATGTAACTTTTACTGAACGGTGACTGTTTTTCTTTCACAGAAATCTACCGTATTGTATCTCAGAAGCAAATATCGGACAGATCTGCACACGACGAGTCTCCAGGCAACAACGTAGTGGACATAAGCCTCCCCCCGACCACGGAAGGGCAGAGGGGAAACAAACTCCCCTGCTGCCAGAGCCTGTGACGCTCTTATCTTCTTTTCCTGTTTTACTCTCCGTCGGTCTTTCCTGTCTTCGCCTCTGGTTTACTTCTGCTGTCATCATGATACCCTCATGAGTTCAGAAGTCTGTCACACCGAGACATTCCTTTTTCGTCTTTGTTTTTTCTTCATTTGTTTGTCTTCCTCTGATTTCAGAAGAACCTCTCTGTACAATAATTTACAACCTCAGAGGAAGAGAGTAGAGCTCTTACGAGGTTGATCTTGAAGCTGTAACAAACATTTTCTTTATAATTGACCACCCTCCATGGTCCCATTGACCCGCTCCTGTTGAGGGAACGGTGAGGGACCAGTAGACCTGTGTATCAGCGCTTCAGGCGGTTTCTACTCGCCTCCTTTTCTCTGCAACGATACAGACTTTTGTCACAATCTCCTACAGTGGAATCCCAATTTCATGTCTGGTTGACCTGATTCTGCCTATCACGCAATACGGGCGTAGAAGAGGAGACGAGATGAAGGTACCACTGGAGCATTGGTGTGTACTCTGCTCTGTCTGGAGTTTCTATTTGCCTCTTTAATTTTAATTTTCCTCTCTGAGCCCTGCGCCCACTGTGGCATGAAATTAGCATGAGCCAGGGACCAGACTGGCTGTGATTGACTTAATATGGGCAAGTGGGAAACAAATGAAGTGTTTTTATTTGTGTGTGTGAAAGTGTGTGTGTTAATCCTAAAGCACAAAGATACCAAAGTTGACGGATGCAATCGTTATCAGTTTTGGTTTTACTCGTTTTTTTTCCTCAAGGCTGCTAAGGTTGCATTTCATTGCTGTATTTGGCAAACTAATCCAGGCTATTTGCAAAAGACGTGTTGTGCTATATCTCAAAAGCAATGTTATGAATCGCGGTGTGTGATTTGTTATTTGTGTAATAATAGTGTCAGACTGGATCGGGCCTCGTGTTCCTCTCTGGAGTCGGCTCAGGTCTTTTAACGGGCTGTCTGGAAATGAAAATCTCTTTTGCACTTATGTCGGATCATTTCAGTGGAACAAATCACTGTTTATTTTTCAGATGCACAACATCTTTATCGAGTAACATTTTCCTGCTGGTTGAAAAAGGAAAAAACTGCACTATATGTGGTGTTTTTGTCTTAAACAGCATCTTCCTGTCATGTACTCAATAACCCTTTGATTTCATTTGACTGTGACATCTGTTAAAGGGAAGCGGATAAAGATGTGTGCTATCTCAAAACATTTCAATGGTAAATGAACCAATTAAAAATGCTCTTCATGTATCACTTGCACTCCAGCTGGTTGGGAAAGTGGAACTGAAAATCAGAAATGTAAATTTCTCTATGGTTGGCTGAGGTGCCCCCTTTTTCACTCACGTGGGCAAAATGCTTTCATCTGTGCAGACTTGTTTTGCTACTTTTGCATCACACAGAAAATACTGAAGCACAAATAAACCTAATCCACATGACACATATAGGAGACAGACTTATTTTTGGATACGTTGCTCACTCTGTGTACCCATAACTTAATGCTGTGTCCTCCACTGTTGTGTTGCAACGTAGGTGTCAACTGATCAAAGAGCACACAGGGTCAAGCTGCACTCAAGTCCATTTGACAGGCTTCCTTTGAAATCTACACATATGATGGTGAGGTGCTCGCACACAGGACTAAAACATTTAGTTTTATAGCATCTAATCAATGTGTCTACTCAAGGCAGGCTTCCTAAAATATTGTATACTTGGTTTCAGAATTATTCTCTCCCATTCAGTCAGAACAATGCCAAGTTTTCACATCCAAGGAAGTTGTTTTGGTGCATAGATGAGACATACATGTAAAGTAGAAAAATAAGAATTTAAAAATGTATATAAAATAACTTCAAAATATAAGAGCTAGGCAGGAAAGTGCAAAAATATACTTAGGAGATGTGCAAAGGCTCACAGTAAATAATGAAAAAAACAAACCTTGTCAATGTAAATACATTTTTGCACAACTTAATATTTTAAAACGAATCAGTTCATGATGTAAAAATTGTTTTAAAAATTGAAAAAAATGCACATTGGTGGGAATTTATGAAAAGTGTTAATTATAAGAATAAGATATGCTTTATTAATCCAGAGGGGAAATTCAGTTTTTTCACTCTGTTGTCATACACACACAGGTCCGAAATACACACACATGCACTAATAGGACCTATACATGCAATAATGAAGAGATGTCAGAGTGAGGGGGCTCAAGGATACTCTGGCAGTGCACAGGAGGCGAACTGACACCTCTATAGCCACCAGTTCACACTCCATATTTGGTCCGGACGTGGAATTGAACCCTATGGACTTAGTAACTGCCGTCCCAATGAATTTATGTAAATAATAATTGATAATATTTATTATGCATTTGAATGACCTGCCATTTCCAGGACTGTACAATAGAGAGCTGCAATGTTTAGTTAATTAATTGAGTATTCAATCAATGGAAAATTAATCAGCAACTATTTTGATCATCAATTATTCTCAAGCAAAAATGACAACTGTGATATTTCCAGGTTCGCAAATGTGCTAACATTACAGTAAATGTAATATTTGGGGGTTTGGAAAAGTTGGTTGAACAAAACAAGACATTTGATGAACCAAATTTAGGCTCTTTTCTCATTTCAATTCAGTTTAATAGGCAAAAGAATGATTAGAGTTAACCCTTTGAAACCTGGAGCCGCATCACTTTTCTTGTGCTGCTGTTTTCAGAGACCCTTCACAAGTATTTAAACCTCTGAACCCTGAGCAAATTGGTGCAATGCCTTTCAAAAACGAGAAAAAAAGGCAATGAGCAACTTGGTGAGAAATGTCCCACAAATTGCAAAAAGTTAATAAATTCAGAAAATTATTATTATTATTATTTTGAAAAAATGGGGGAAATAGCAAGGGAAAAAAAATATTTATAATTATTTATTACATTTCAAATTTTTTTTAAAATAATTTGTTCAGGTCATTTCATTGTTTGTTTTTAACTTTCTTTGTCTTTTTTTTTTTTTTACTAATTTTCTTGCTTTTTAATTTTCTTTTTTTTTTTTACTCTTTTCTAAAGATTAAATTAAATTAAATATTTTTGGGTCATTTCTTCCTCTTGTGTTTTGCCCATTGCCTTCTTCACATGTTTAAAAAAAAAGCCAATTTGCAGGACACTGAATGGGAACAACTAATCACATGAAAAACAGTATTAGTCAGAATGGTAAAATAGATAATTAAATAAGTAAACAAGATATAATAATACATATCTGATGTGTCTCATATATGTTTAGCTAAAAAACATGTTTTGTGTATCTGGGTGTGGAAAAAAAACAAGTAGCAGAGGACTAGATCTGTGTTTTTTTTAATATTTTGTCGACCAAACGATTTATCGAGAAAATACACCACCAATTAATCGGTAATGAGCATAATCGTTTTCCCTTGTAAAAAAAAAAGTTGAAATATTTTTTTAAATGTGTGCGGTTAAATTCAGCTTGTGTTTGAGAGTTTTGGTTAAAAAATTGTCTTTAATTTTAAACGTATTATAGAGCTGATTAGATCCTGGTCGGCCAGCTCTGTTTGTTTCCTCTGGCTTTGTGCTGCGCATGAGATGTTTTCAGTGAGCTCGTCCCTCCCTTTGGCAGGCTGCTGTTTCCCACAATAACATTTTAACGTGTCCGGTGTGTGTCTGAGTGTTCTCCGTCTGCACCGCAGAGGCAGACAGCTGATGATGAGCCTCTGGGGGATATTTAAAGCTCTGGGAAAGCGGAAGCATGGCCTGCTCTGTGTTATCAGCTGAGAGCTGCTGCTAGCTAGCACAGCGCTCTGTTAGCATATTAGCTAGCGAGTGGAGCCGCATTTTGACTAGTTAATTCACACGTACAACTGAAAATGAAGCGAAGGGGAAACAGGAGGTTGTTGTGGCGGTAACGCCTGCCGATGTGACACATCTTTAAGGAGACGACACGGGGTGAGTGGACGTTTGTAAGCTTTCGTTTTTACAGCAGACGGACGGCTAGCAGCTAGCTGTTAGCTAGTGACAACTGGCGGCTAGCTAACAACACACCTGTAACGGTCGCCAACTGACAGCGTTTATTTAACTTACTGGACAATGAACGTTGATATTGAATTGAAAAAATTTAAAAACTAAGATAATGCTTTTAATGTCTTAAATATGGCGCTGCAGCATAGCTAACAGCGTATATTTATCTATGTTCCCTTGGCTCTATGTTCCCCAACACAATATCCTGTAAATATGACACATTAACACCTCTCATAAATGTTGAGCTGTTCAATACATGTGGTGAAATTATCCTCATATACCTGATACCATAGTAATGTTACACTCATAGTAATAAAACAAGCTTCCTATCTATGTCGTTTTGTTTCTATATTTATACCCTCTCAAACCTACGCCCTCAGTTTTCGTGACTTTGGACAGTGATGTCTCAATCATGGCTGAATTTTTTACAACAAACTGCATTTGAAAGGTCCATCTCCTTTCATGTCTTTGCAATTTGAGCTGCGATGATAGCCCCCATCAGTCCCTGTCAATGTCAGTTTATATTGAGAGACGTATATAAATATTTGTTCACTTGGAAGACAGCTGTAAAGTTTGTCCTACATAGTCTGGATCAAAGCTTTAACAGCTGAATGCAGTGGTAACAACTTCTTGAGAAAAAGTGAAAATGAAAATTACTTTAGTTTGTTTGCAGTAATTTTATCATGTCCTGATGTTTCTGCACTCATCACTATTTTAAAAAGTAACCAGGTTACAGTCACATTCATGTACTGAATTGAAGCATTTGGCTCATTGATATCGATTTTAGATATTTATTTTGAACTTGAACATACAAACAAGCCAAAGAAAGTAGGCTAATATTTACAAGTAATGAAAAGTATAAGGTAAACACAGTTGTCAATGTATAGGTGCTTTGATTTACACATTGGAAAAGGAGTTGGAGGAAGTATAAACATATAAGACAGCTTCCTTATATTGATTAAAAGTTACATGAATTTATTAGTGATGCAAGATAGTGGATTTTTTGCCCGTATACAACAACTTATTTGGCCGATAACCAATACTGATATACCCATTTTTTTCCCCCACCTAAATTTAGTGATCATCAGGTCTCTTCTGTAGTGGAATTAACATCATATTATGCATGTATACTCTTATCATGACATGAAATACAATGCTTTTCAGTGTATGTAATATTTAGTCATTGTGCAAAATAAGAAAAGGCATATGTTGGACGATACTAATAATTCATTTTAAAGCTGATATTGGCCCAGATTATCGTATTATCATGCCTCCCTATAATTTATGTTTCTATACTGATGTGTATTAAAAACACATTGGTCTGTTTCATTCCTGTGTTTTCATACATCACTCAGAAACTGTAACGGATAGATTTTGTTGTCGTCTTAGTTTTTGGGGGCTATCCTTTTGTTTATCTGGGTCAGGGATTGTGTCTCTTAATCATAGCCCCCCGTGCTGTATCAGTATGCATAAATAACAACACAAGGAAGTGATACTACAACAGCTTGCCTTTTATTTAAAAGGGTTAAGAGGTCATCTAACATTTGCAATGCAGGTGTGAGCAGCATTATATGATATTTGGGAACTGTTATAAACTATCTACAGTTAAAGTTACCTACACCATCTACAGTTTTAACTCAATTTAATTCAATTTTAGTTCAATTTATTTATTTATTGTCATTCTTTCAGTAGCATACGGTGAACGAAAAGTCATCACTCATGAATCCAAGTGCAGTAAGAACACGTAGCAAAGAAGACAAGAGATTTAACATGGACATGACAACATTAAAGTGCAATGAAGTGCATTGTAAATCTCATAAAATAGAAATAGATTAGTGCAGAGGAATAAATATTAAACTAACTAAACTAATAAAACTAACTAACTAACTAAACTAATAAAACAGCAAAATGATGATCTGGATAACAGTCAAAATTAATTTAAGGGCTACATATTTAATATAATGGACAAAAACTGCTCTCCACTGGGATATTAGATCATTGTAGTTGTTTGTAGAAGCTGTAGAAAATAAGCAGATGACCAGAATATAATACAATAATCATATCTAATGGGCTGAGGATGTTTTTATGCTGAAATGGCTGCAGAGTGTAAATATTTGTATTAATTATCCATAAGGAGATGGAATAAAGACCCAAAATCCCATAAATTCACGCAGGAATTTCAGCACCATCTGTCATGTTAAACGTCCTGTTTAAAAACAACAACAGTTATGAGTACATGGGATTATATGCTATATTAGTGTGGGTGCAGTGCTGTGGTTTAATGTGTATACAGCTACAGGCCAGTGACCCAGTCTTTACCTAATAGTCTGGCATGAAGGATCAAATGTGGGCTTAGTGTGTGCTACAGTTATGCACTCAAATGTAGACGTGCTGCCGTCACTGAAATCCTGAAAAGGCAGAGAAGCTCAACATTTATTTAAAATGAAAGAAGCTACTTCAATACCTACACTCATATCAGATATAGTTTTTGGTTTTAGAGTATCTTTTGTTTCATTAAAATGAAAACATTTCACTCAGAAATTCATTTGTCACTAGTGTGTTGTCGTACAGGATAATTTCCAAACAGCAAGACAAACGCACTGTAGGAAATGCAGCGGCCTGCGTCTTATCTGTAGTGAAGGGTTATCTGAGGGGAGACAGCTGTTTATCAGTCTGCTGCACATCACACTCACTGCCTCTGACAATAGCTTGTGCTTTTATAATGGATTAGCAGCTGCTTTGGGAGAATTGGCCCACCTCCAGACTGACAGCTTTCTTGTAAATGACCCAGTGTCTTTGTAGATAACCTCAGTTATTCTCACATGGCAGGAAATTAATGGTCCATGAAGCATGCTTTCAAATAGGCTGTCAAAACAGAAAGTTTACCTATTCATCGTTGATTAATGTGTCAGTTGTTTTCTGGATTAATTGATTAGTTGTCCGGTCTGAAAAATGTTGATCATTGTTTCCTAAAGCCCAAGATGACGTCCTCAAATGTCTTGTTTTGTCCACAACCCAAAGACACTCAGTTTACTGTCACAGTGGAGGAAAGAAACAAAAAAATATTCACATTTAAGAAGCTGGAAAAAAGATTTTTCTATTAAAAATTACTCAAACTGATAAAATGATTTTGAAATTAGCTGGCGATTAATTTAATAGTTGACAACTAATTGATTAATCAATTAAATTGTAATATATCATTATTTTGCTGTTCGTGGGGACTTTATAAGTAAAGGTGGGAACACCACATAGGTCTTGTATTCAGATTTTGTTTTACTTTACTGTTAATTACTGTATTAGTATTAATTAAAATGTACTTAAAGTCACTCATTATGCAGAAAGGCCAGTTTCAGAATATTATATTTCTGGATTATATTTATTGATCCATCAGTGTGTAAGGATCACTTTAATGGTGTAGATAATTAAGGCGGGGCTAATTTTAACTACTTTATATACTGCTACCAGGGGTGTAAATATAGACAGTGCAGGCAGGGCGGCTGCAGCGGGGCCTGTGAGGTGAAGGGGTCCATAGGGACAGTGGGCCCTCCAACAACATGTAGAGTAGAAAACAGGACTGCCACCTTTAGATATGCTTGTGTTTAAAGAGCTCATTAGATGAAAAAAATAGTGCAATTTGCTAGACTACATGTGCCTTTGAAAAGGCAAACCCATCACGATCATGGTTTTGTTTTGTGTTTTTTGTAATATAGTCAGTAACAATCTAAATGCCTATTCTACATAAACAACAAATAAGCTATGAAAGTGATTGAATTAAATGAACAATTCCCTATTTTCTTTTTTTGTCATGTACCTATATGCGATGAGGATTTATGGGTAACATATGTTGGTGTTATCCAATGTCAAGTCTCCATTGGATCATATGATGAGATGATAAGATAATACAGTAACCAGTTTAAGCGCATCAATAGCAGCTAGTGTGCACTGGGTCCCACATAACTACCATACACCACTGACACTGTATTATGATAATACATAATGTTTAATTTGTTAATTTAGATTTTGGATTTATACATTTTATCTGCAAAGTAGCTAAAGCTGTAAAAACAAAATACAGAGTGCAATACATGGCTCTGAAATGCAGTCAAGTAGAAGTATAAAGTAGCTTAAAATGGAAATACTCAAGTGCCTCAAAACCGTACTTAACAATACTTAAGTTAAAGTACTTAACTTACTTTCTATCACTGATACTGTTTACATGAAAAAGCCGCTCATTGTCTGTTTTTCTCCTGTTTGTAGAAACTAACCGTTCCCAACCTGTGGACAGTAGAGTTTGTGCTTCCCACTCCCCACATCAATCTTCACCTCTGACCCTCTACACCCTCACCTCCACCTCTACGGCCAGCGCCTGGCCTCTGTAACCATGACGACAGGTGGGTGTTGCCACCTGCCTGGCTCTCTGTGTGACTGTGCAAGCACCACTGGCCTGTGGAAGAGCGTCGAGGAAGGAGGTGGTGAGGGGTGCCAGGCGCTCTACGTCACCCAGGTTACAGCCATAGACGGACGGTTGCTTTCCTCTGTGCTCAAACCAATGAGTACGCAAAGGTGAGACTTACTTACGCTCATGTTGTCAGGGGAGAAGTCCATGATTACAACTGCCACTTTTTACACAACAGACATTTTAACTCATCACAGTAGGAAAAAGCCTAACAGCTGAAATACATGGGGCACTTTCACAGTGCATCACATAGGTGGAGTGGAGCAGGCCTTTTACCTGCTGCACAGACTCTGTCTTTGCAGCGTGTGGATGCTGCCATCTGCTGTGTACTGAGTTTTGCCAAGTGATAAAGTAGTTAGTTATGCAGGGTTTGGAAGCGTAGGCTTTAGTAACTGGCACTGAATTAATTGGGTGGATTAATTGGCTGGTTGATTATTTGCTGCTTTGCATTGCCTCACGTACAGTGAGGCATTCATTGTAATCGTTTCATTAAACAGATTGTATTTGTTTTCTACACTTTTCTGTCACTTTTCTGTGTAGGTTTTTTTTTTTTAATTATATTTTTGGGGCTTTTTTACCTTAAATGACAGGGTAGTCTCAAGCATGGGGGGCTTGGGGTGCCCGCTCTACCCACAATGCTACTGGGTGCCCCTCTATGTAGTTTTTACCTGTTGCAGAGCCACACGTAGAGAGAATAGAAACGCAGCGTGAAATTACCATCGAGCAACATGGTGCTTGCACGGGCAAGCGCAGCTTCTGTGGTCAGTGTAGCAGCTTCAGTTGATAATAATGGACGTGCTCTGCTGCAACAGACGTTCGCGTCCGTGTCCCATATATTTCAGCTGTAAGATTATTACACGTACCCTTTTTACTTTAATCATTTTGGACAGTTCCCTTTAGATTTATACACTGAAAATGAAAGAAAGGGAACAAAATATATGTATATTATGTTGTTACAATCCCAGCTCTTAAGCTGCAACAATGATAAGAGACGAGATGAGTGTACAAATAGTTAAAAGCTTACTTATTTACAAAGTAACAATTAGGGATAGACCGATATGGATTTTTTAGGGCCGATGCCAATACCAATTTTTTTCCATCACCCTTAGCCGATGACCGATTATGGACTGCCGATTTTCTTGAGCCGATATTTGGGGCCGATACTGCTTTTGCTCCCTCAATTTACATAAAAAAAAATGACACAATGATATCAAATATTACAGGTCTCAAGTTTAAAATAAGAAACATTTATTGAACAGTAAAAAATACTAAAACACGATGGAAAGTTGAGGTAGAACAGGTAGAATATTATTATTATTATTACTATTATTATTATTATTATTATACATTCAAATAAAAAAAGAGTTCAGTGCTCTTAAATCTTCCAGTAATGTCTTTATAAAATAAACAAATATTTAAGCTGAAGCATAAATAAAACAACAACTACTGTACACAGTAGGATTCAACAGCTTTGTTCAACTTAACCACATATTTTCAAATGAAAAAAGTGCCAGGGAAAAATAAATCCGCGAACCCACGCACGTATCGGCCGATGCCGATAAAAGTAAAAAACTCAAATATCGGCCCGATATATCGGCCGGCCGATGTATCGGTCTATCCTTAGTAACAATAGATAACCAAATAAACGTGAAAGTCAGTAATCAGTCATGCCCGTGTGTATGGGTATTTGGAAATGTCTGTAGAAAGCCTAAAGGACATCAGCTGTGCCGCAAAGGAAGAGAGCGATTAAGTTTGAAGGTTATTGCATTTACTGCACTTTTAAAGACGTAAATGTGTGTGAGTAATGTGATCACATGATTCAGTTCTGCCGACTGATAAGCAAACCTGATGAAGACATTAAATTTGTTGTTCACTCTTCCACCTGCAGAAAGTGCTTAAATGTATCCATTAATTCTGGTCCACATGTGCATGTCTGTTTCATAACTGTATTTGGCTAAAAAGTTATTTCTTAACATCTCTCATTTTGTCTCAGTGATGGTCCCATCTGTCGTATTTGCCACGAAGGAGGCAACAGCGAGGGTCTCCTGTCTCCATGCGACTGCACGGGCACCCTGGGCACGGTCCACAAGAGCTGCTTGGAGAAGTGGCTGTCATCTTCCAACACCAGCTACTGTGAGCTCTGCCACACGGAGTTCAGCATCGAGCGCCGACCGAGGCCTCTCACAGAGGTAACAAAGGTCAATGCCCTTTGCCTTGTCTGCATCAATCTTTCTGCCTGTCTTTTTATTCTGCTTTGGTTGGGCTGCCGTTTGTGAATGACTGTGGATATATAAATGTGCGAAGGAGAAGTAGCTTTTTTCCCTCATCTTTCAGCTTGCTTGCTTACTTGTTGTTGAAGTGTGTCTTTACTGTTCTTGATTGACTTAAGATCTTTCTCTCTGTCTGTCTACCTTTCCCTTGCCTCTCTCTTGCTCGTATATATTCTCCCTCTTCTCTATTGTTCTGTCTCCTATTTCTTCTTCTACAGTGGCTGCGGGACCCCGGCCCTCGTAATGAGAAAAGGACACTGTTCTGTGACATGGTGTGCTTCCTGTTTATCACGCCCCTAGCAGCCATTTCAGGCTGGCTGTGCCTGAGAGGTGCTCAGGACCATCTTCAGCTGGGGAGCTGGCTGCAGGCTGTGGGCCTCATCGCCCTCACCATCGCACTCTTCACCATCTATGTCCTGTGGACCCTGGTAAAATTCACACACAGATCAGGCTGTAGCACTGTTGTAATGCAAGTTTAAAGGTCCAGTGTGTAGGATTTAGGAGGATATATTTGCATTAGTTGAATATAATAGACATAACTATGTTTGTATTAGTGTATCGTCTCCAAATTTAAGAATCATTGTGTTTTTGTTATCTTGGAATGACTTATGGAGCAGGTCCTCTTCTACAGAGTCTGCCATGTTGTTCTACAGTAGCCCAGAACAGACAAACCAAACACTGTCTCTGGATATAGCATTTGCGTTTTTGTGTTAGCCACCACAGTCCTCCTACACACTTGGGACATGGGAGACGTTTCAGTTGGTTGCAATCTGCAATCTCGCCAGTAGATGCCACTAAATCCTACACACTGGACCTTTAAAGCGCTTGAGTTTTAAAATTGCCTGCTAATTTGCCTTTGGGATAGCTCACTGTATTACATAGAGTGGGAGGCAGTCAAGCTGCGACAAGCTCACAATTTCCATTTGAAGGCAGCGTGTTATATTAAAGGCCTATAAGTGAACGTCATGCTCACCAACACAAATAACAAGCTAAGTGCTCATGTACATTATTGACCTCCTATTTCTGTCTCTTCTTACCTGGTTGTCTGTGCAGGTATCTTTCCGCTACCACTGTCAGCTGTACTCTGAGTGGAGAAGAACAAACCAGAAAGTACGTCTGCTCATTCCTGAAGCCAAGGAGTCTAACTCTTCCCAGCATTCCTTGCTCTCCACCAAACTGATGAAGAAGTCTGCCAATGAGAGTATAGTATGAGACCAAACGGAGACAGCTGATGATAATGGTGTCTTTTCTGTGTGGCGGCTGATTGTCGCCTGCCAGCTAGCCTTTAAAGAAGCACTTGTGGGCTTTTTTTTTTTTTGTTGCTTTCTACAAAAAAAAAGTCTTTGCCCCATCGGTACTTAACTCACATCACTTTTTAAAACAGAAGCCTAAAAGAGCACATTTAAATGGGTGTTGACCAAGTTTATGCAAAGGCACTGAAGAGCGTGACAGATGTGGAGAAGACATTGCCCGAGACATGGAACAGTCTCAAAAGTCATGGATACGATGATCATGTTTAATCACAGTGACAGTAGTAAAAGAAACGACCAAACGAACTTGTTCAGTGGATTGTGAAATGTTTTAAGTATTGTTCTGCTTGGATTCAACAACCCATCGATGGTCCACATGTGACTGCAGAGCACAGGAGGTCCAGTCATTGTCGTGCAGCAATGATGAAAGTGTAAACCGCTAGAAACATGTCATATGTGGGCGTGCCCTTATCTACATAGGCCTTGCATTCTCTGCACAGTGTTGCCCATCGAGGAGCTCTTTGACGCGATTATTGTGTGACCCTGTGTTAATCTGTAAAGGAAAAAAAAGCTTTGATTTATTCACCCGAAGCTTTTAGTTTTCGCACAAGCCTATTGGACTTCTTTCAAGGTTTTTTTTTTTTTTTTTTTTTTTTTTTAAATCCTACATCTGTTTTTACATTTCATCCAAGAATGGATGGCAGCATAGCGTTCGTAAAGCCAGAGATTGTGCAATAAAACACTGTGGACATGGAGGACTTCACAGTACATGAAGAGACCTCTCCCAACATGCACAGTTATGCATGCAAGCACTGTTAATAAAAAATTAGGGGGGGGGATTTTTTTAAAATTTTTATTTTGTAGTGTTAGCGTATTGTAAAATCCTTTTGTGGTTTAAAAAAAAAAAGTTTCTTAAACCACTAAACAGAATCAGTATTCCTACTGCAGTAGGGTTTAACAGCGTCCTCATAGAGGTTCTTATATTATCAGCACTTAGCAAGTAGGTCTTGTATAGATCGATAGAAAACTCCATGAAAATGGCTCTCAGAGGATCCAAGAGTCTGTTGGGTGGCTGATGCAGTGTACTAAAGCATCCTTTTAACTGCCTGTTAAAGTACTTAATTATTGCTATTTTTGTTCTGTGTATTTTATTTTATTTTATTCAATTAGTTTCCGTAAGTAACACCAAATATCAGGGAAACTTCCTGCAAGCAATCACCATTGTAGTCATGATCAAACATCATCGATAAAAGCAACTTCTGTGCTGGTGTTCAGTGCTTCTGCCAGTCTAACATGAAGTTTACTCACCAACAACGACTTTAATGGTGGGTGTATTATGCAAGCACCACTTCTTTTTTGTTGTTGTTTTTTTTACTTTAAGGAAGCCACTAAACGCTTGTGTGCTTTTTTTCTAAGTCCATTTGATGGTTGTCGGTGTTTTCAGGGTGTAAACTTGCCCTCATCATGTTTTGATGTTACTGACCAGACATTTTTGGGTCTGTATTGGTTGTTTGAGAGAGTAAAGAAAATCCACTTCTCTCTTGTGTACATAGTTTGGTGCAGTTTATAATCAAGTCACGTTGAGTGGCCCTTCAGAGAACTCAAAACGCAGTAGCTGCCTGGTTTCCAGATTTATGGGGTCATAGCATTGAGATTTTAACAGTTTACTTCATTCCACTTCAGTTAGGTTGTAGAAGGACGGTTAATTGACGTGAACACACTGCGGTCTGACTGTGGCTGCAAGGAACGTCATAGGCTGAAACATGTTGGCCTAACGCTTGTCGTTTTGGAGTGTTGAAGGTGTTAAAGAAGGTTTAACCTAAAATCAACAATACATGTTTTTCCTCTTACCCGTAGTGCTATTTATCAGTCGAGATTGTTTTGGTGTGAGTTGCTGAGTGTTGAGATATCAGCCGTAGAGATGTCTGACTCTCTTCAGTATAATGGAACTAGATGGCGCTCGGCTTGTGGTGCTCGAAGTGCTAAAAAAAAAAATACATTCAAAAATGTCTCTTTCCAGAAATCATGACCCAGTTTAAGATAATACACACACTTTGTTGTGAGCAGTTTCATGTGGGAACTTTTTTCTTTCTGCTGAACTACATCCGCCAACCGTATCACTGCACAGAAGGAAGTGTGCATCTACTCATGCTAGCTCACCTAGCACCACTAAGCAAGCTGACGTCACAGCTTAGCAGAGGAGGATGGCGATAATGTTTACATCTCACGTTGTCACAAACACGAGTAGATGTGGGTGTACTTGTCGGTGAAGATTCTCAGTCATCCAGGTCATGGTAATCGTCAGTGCTAATATCATAGGCAACTGGACTTGCTTGCGTTTCTTGAAGATGTTTCGCTTCTCATCCAAGAAGCTTCTTCAGTTCTAAATGACTGGTACAAAGTTGCAGGCTGTAAACCCTGTGTGGGTGGGAACCCTTGCAGAGTCATAGGGGTCACGTGAGCTCTTAGCCACCATGTGAGTCGTTAGGGTCAGGTGGGACCAGGGGTGAATGGGTGTGAAGTCCCTCTCCAGATGACTTCACACCCATTCACCCCTGGTCGTCTTCAAGAAACGCAAGCAAGTCCAGTTTCCTACAATATTAGCACTTAACGTTTTGCGGGTGTAGTTTGTTACAAAGTAAAATAGTTCCTACATGAAACTGCTCAAAGCACAGTCTGTTGATTATCTGAAGTAACTGGGTCATGATTTCAAGCCATCTAGATCGATTATATTGGAGAGAAGGCAGACATCTCTACGGCCGATACCTCCAACACTCTGCACCTCCCCAAAACAAACTCGACTGATAACCAGCTCTACAGGTAAAAGGGAAAATATGAAGTTTTGATTTCGGGGTGAACTGTCCCTTTAATGCTATGGTTCAGCATTATTGTGCAGATCTTACTATTTGTAAGTGTTTCATTTACGACTGCAGTCCTGTGGGGTGCAATAAAAAAATCAGCATTGAAGCAAAGAGGCAAACTTAAAACAAGTTGACTAGTTGATTACTATTTTTCAAGATCACAATTATTTGCTTTTGGATTTTTCTCGATTCAGTGGAATGACATTTATATTTTTATTAATGAGTGACTTTTGATTATTATGCTTATTAATGATGATTAACATGTTGATGATTTTGTTCTTCCTATGTGCTTTTTGTTAACTTCTCCTACATGTCAAAGTAAAAGACATGGCTCCATGTCACAGAGACATTCAGTATTGACACAGAAACAATGCAGTACATGAGCTACGGTGTGCAGAGGCCAAAAGTCTGGATTTTATGCACAAGTGTTAATGTTTTTTATTTAAAATACGTATTATGTATTTAGTTAATAACAATCAGGCTCGACCAAACTATTTTACTGACACTGCTGTGTGGTGGCATTGTCACAAAGAGTCATCCGAGATCAGTTCAGTCCCTTTTTCAGAGCAGGTTTTTGGTTTACGGCTGCGGTCAGTAAGCATCAGTTACAGTTGTCCTCCTGCACTTTTGATTTTCATGCTAAAGAAACCCTGTGATGTGAGATGACATTACAAGTTAGGTGGTAAAGCATTAGTCGTAGAAGCGGGGTGCATATCAGTATGGCTAATTTGGTGGAAAATTGACACCGTAAAGTGTTGACCATTAATCTGTTTGACTGCTGACAGTGTGGCTTCATCAGCAGTGGGTGTTAAAGTTATTTCCTCGCCCCGGCCTTTTGTCTGCACTCATTACACTTTGTTAGCTCCTGGTGGGTTGTCCCACATTCTGCCCCAGTTAATCGTTTGTTTGTGTTTTTAACTGATCTCAGAACAAAGGATTATATCCTGCAATACTGCGATGCACCCGGGGGGGCTTACAAGCTTAGACGGCATTTGATCATCCATGTGTTTACTGTTTGTCGTGTTGGGACACTGATCTGATGCAATGTAAAGAGCTGAGGTGCAGGAAGTCAACAAACAACTGAATCTGTACTGAAATGCAGAAGATGTGTGACGGCTATAATAATGTTAATTTTATAGTTTTGGAAGTTGCCTACAAAGTATGCAATACTGCTTCCTCTTCGGCTCCCTGCAGATCCTCATATCTCCAAAGAGTTTTTAAGTGTTATTACACTTTAACCATTATGTAATACTTTTTTCACAACTCAAATCCAGAAAGGGATTTTAAATTTTCTTTGTTGTTTATTATTACACCAATGAACATGTAAATGTTAATGTTACTTCTGTTGTGTCTAACATTTTTTTGTAATCTTTCTACATGTACTTTTCGGAGGGAGGGTGTGTTGATATGTATCATTTGTAATTTATGTTGCAATTCTTCAGTATTCACATTTTGAAAATACAATGTTTATGGTGTGCTGTGGAAAAAAAAAGAAAGATGTCTTCACCAAAATACTGGTACCTGCAATCAGCCAAGAATTGTTTGCAAAGCAAATAAAACACAATGATAAATTCTGGGTGAACATTAATTCAAGTGATTTGTTTTTTTATTTTAGATAGCTGTGTTAATCCTGTCTGTGTTCTGCTCTGTACGACTGGTCATGGTATAAAACATTACTTCATCACCACAGTATAGATGCTATGATATGGCTGTTTACAGATGATCCTCTTTGTCCAGAGAGGATGAGATGTCATTATTATAAGTCTGTTTTTGGCCACAGCTGTATGAACCTCATTAAGCCTGCTGAAAAACAACTGCTGATGTCAAGTTTTGCTCCTGTGGAGACAGAAAGGAATCTCCTCGTCTCATCCACCACATCTGGAAAATATAAGCAGCTTAGTTAGAAAAACACGACTTTAAAATATTCCATATGCCGAGGAACAGTCTCCGCTCTCCAGGAAAAAAACTGAAAAAGTTTCAGTGGGTGTCGATCAGTCATCAAAATGAAAGGATATTTTCTATGACAATTTTATTGCATACTATACTATGACTTTTTTGAATGAAATTTTAGGAGCATACTACACTATGATTGAAGTTTTTTGGGGGGGGGAGTCTACACTATGACATTATTACATTTTATTGCACATTACACTATGATTTTTCAATGACTTTGATGGCATACTATATTATTTTATCACATACTATACTATGAAGTTTTTAGGGAAAAATTTTGGCACACTAAGCAATGACTTATCTGAGGTATGTCATGGCATGTTATTGATATGACATTATGTAAGATGACATTTTTATATTTTCACGGCATACTATTCAATAACATTGTCCGTGATATTTTGACGACATACTATACTGTGACTTTTTTTCATGACTTTGGACGACATACTATACTATGACATTTTTTCATGATTTTGGACAACATACTGTACTGTGACATTTTTCCGTGATTTTGTAGACATAGTATACTATGATGTTTTTCATGATTTTGGATGACATAGTATACTATGACATTTTTTCATGTTTTTGGAAGACACACTATACTATAACATTTTTTCATGTTTTTGGAAGACATACTATACTATAACATTTTTTCATGATTTTGGACGACATACTATGACATTTTTTCATGATTTTGGATGACATACTATACTATAACATTTTTTCATGATTTTTGACGACATACTATACTATGACGTTTTTTCATGATTTTGGACAACATACTGTACTGTGACATTTTTTCATGATTTTGTAGACATAGTATACTATGACTTTTTTCATGATTTTGGACGACATACTATACTATGATGTTTTTTTCATGATTTTGGACGACATACTATACTGTGACATTTTTCCATGATTTTTGACGACATACTATACTATGACATTGTTTCGTGATTTTGGACGACATACTATACTATGACCTTTTTTTCGTGATTTTGGATGACATACTATACTATGACATTGTTTCATAATTTTTGACGACATACTATACTATTGCGTTTTTTCATGATTTTGGACGACATACTATACTATGATGTTTTTTCATGATTTTGGACAACATACTATACTATGACGTTTTTTCATGATTTTGGATGACATACTATACTACAACATTTTTTCATGATTTTGGACATACTATACTATGACGTTTTTTCATTATTTTGGACGACATACTATACTACAACATTTTTTCATGATTTTGGACATACTATACTATGACGTTTTTTCATGATTTTGGATGACATACTATACTATAACCTTTTTTTCAAGATTTTGGACGACATACTATACTATGACATTGTTTCATGATTTTTGACAACATACTATACTATTACGTTTTTTCATGATTTTGGACGACATACTATATTATGACATTTTTTCACGATTTTGGACGACATAGTATACTATGACGTTTTTTCATGATTTTGGACAACATACTATACTATGACATTGTTTCATGATTTTCAACGACATACTATACTATGAACTTTTTTTCATGATTTTGGACGACATACTATACTATGACATTGTTTCATGATTTTGGACGACATACTATACTATTATGTTTTTTCATGATTTTGGACGACATACTATACTATGACTTTTTTTCATGATTCTGTATGACATACTATACTATGATGTTTTTTCATGATTTATGACGACATGCCATACTATGACTTTTTTTCATGATGTCTGACGACATACTATACTATGATGGTTTTTCATGATTTTGGACAACATACAATACTATGATGTTTTATTAAGATTTTGGACGACATACTATACTATGACGTTTTTTCATGATTTTGGACGACATGTTTTTTCATGATTTTGGACGACAAACTGTACTATGACTTTTTTTCATGATTTTGGACAACATACAGTACTATGACTTTTTCTGATGATTCTGTACGACATACTATACTATGACTTTTTTTCATGATGTTTGACGACATACTATACTATGGCTTTTTCATGATTTTGGACGACATACTATACTATGACATTTTTTCATGATTTTGGATGACATACTATACTACAACGTTTTTTTCATGATTTTGGACGACGT